GCCCTTCCATGCATCGGATGTGAGTTTCATCGCCACATCATCATGTCACACGTCCCAATGGAAGCACAAGTCCCTGTAGCGTGTTATGTTGCATCTTCCGGATCATTGTTCGCCTCCGGTCGATCACACTCTCGCGGTCCGCGCGCACCGCTTCTCTTCGCATCCGAGCTCCTTGTAAAAGGTGTAAAGGGCCTGCCATATTGACCTTGACGCACCTTGTCTCTCAGGTGCAACCGAGAGTGTCATTGGACCCAAAGTTAGTAATTCTCGAAACGTCTTCCTCTGAGGCGCTCCTGGCGTTCTGCTGCGGCGTCCAAGTTCGGAAGGCGTTTGCAGTTGGGAGGCGGGCACCTTGGCGCTTTGATAGCTGTTCTGCAGCTGTACAGTCATCCGGTTGGGATCGAAGCTTTGTAAACCCAAGACGTCGCGTACGCCCTGCCAGCACAGTGGACGTTGCCCCATGATCAGGTCCAGGGAGCGTCCTAAAGCAGTCTATAAGCAGTCTATAAGCAGTCTATAAGCAGTCTATAAAGCACGCGCGGGTTTTCAATGTAACGGCAAAGAATATTTGACCTATCGAGGCAGATGCAACCTCAGCACCCACACGTCACCAGCAGTACATGGGCACTCAGTGGAAAAGTACATATCCGCAGTGAGAACTAGGTAAGCCATCAAGCAGTATCGACAGCGGTCTATGCTCGCCATGACGCTCCCAAGTGCTCAATCAAAGCGAGCGGCGAGCGACCGCGTCAGCGAGGATGTGAGGCGGAGGCAGTTCAACGCAGGCAGATACTCGGCAGGGACGGCGATAACCACATGACAGCGCCACTGCGGGCCAGGAGAATTGGCCAGCCTGCAGGTCCATAACAGGCACTCCTGGCCCTGCTCACGCTGTCTGGTGGAAGCAAACGACATATTAATACAATAAGTGAACTGCAGGCCAGCCCAGCGGGTGGCTGAGGCTTACCTGGATTTCCTGGCGCTCGGCGCTGGCGGCGGCTTGCGGAAATCCGTAGCTCCGCCACGCCATGTTGGTTCTTCCGCATATTGTGTGAGTCCGCTGTAAGACGCGGACAGGCCGGAGTACACCTGGATCTCGCAAGCCTCAAAACTCTATGCTCGCGCCTTGCCGTTGACGGACCCTTGGTTCCATTCCACCTCCTGCATAGTCCTGCAGAATGCATGCCAGCCTGACGCAATCACAGGGCCCGGACAATTGGGCAAGACTGGGCGTGCTGAACACAGGCACACATTGCGCTTGCCACCCGCAACTAAGGAGGTGACTCCATTAGATGTTATCTTTCAGCTTCAGCCAACCACGTCACTTGTTCATTCACGGAAGCAACCAAGATTGATAGCAGATGTTTCTCATATGTTCCGTTCCCTCAATGCATTCATTCTGCCCGCATCCGTTGCAGGCATGAGTAATGAGCCGCCCACTGCCCATTGCAAGACATGAAGTGACACGAACGAATAGGAGAATGTCTGACACAGAGACAGAGGACACAGTGGATCACGGAAAAAGGTCCCTGTCTCGAACACCCTACGCTACTCGGAGTGGGTGGTGGGTCTGGTCGTCTCACCTCGCCGGCTACGTCGGAGATGCGTCACCCGCCCGTGGCCAAATCCGACGGACCTACTTCGTCCGAAAAGCTCGTTGAGATGCAGGCGACAACGGGGCCACCTAGTGCTTACTTTTCTAGACGGCCTAGAGCTCGTTCAGCCTACCATGGTGATGTGTGCCTATCAACCAGTACATGGATTTTGTCCGCGCGTTTTCTAAAGTCTTCCAAAACTTACGAGACCCAGTCTTCACCGGTGATGGAGCGTTAGGGTGGCAGGCTCATGCCTTTGACCAAGCTATCGCGGCCTCCGCTGCATGGCCGCTGTGCCACCTCGGTCTGATACTGACACCGGACCCGCTACGGTCAGTGACAGGCACCGTTCACACGACGCAACAATAGGAAGCGATAGGCGATGTGCACTGCATTCCACTACATGTAGCTAGCGGTGCCCAATGTGCTCAGGATCCCGTCCAGCGCCATTTCCTCCTTTTCACCCCATAAACTTATACTGGAGGCCAGATCCGCGACCATAAAGTCAGACCACATCAGTGGGCGTCTCTCTGTGTAGCATGCACAACATCCGTGGGAGACAAGAAACCACACTGAACGGTCACAATCCTCCGTGCTTGCATTCAAGCGCGAAGCATAGGTTCCGTGGCAGAACAAGATATGTGTGTCGTGCAGAGCGAGAACTGAATGTGGCACTCAACCTCTTTTGGGAGCCCTTCGCGAAATGCGACCTTACAAACCCACGCCGCGGCTGACGCTTAGCTCAACTACGTGTGTTTTAAATTGCACCTGAGGAAGTAAAGGCGCATAAGCCAGCACGCATGCTGACCGGGCCTTCTTGAGCATCGGCGTACTAGTGGCGCCTAGGTAGATGGTGGCGGAATGGGTCGCTGAGGCAGAGTTGCTGTCACGTTGTGGAAGTTGGCTGCCAAGCAGAGAGCCTGAGTGCTGGAGTGAATACACTTTGCCTCCCCCGCGAGATATTAGTACTGAACTGTCTTGGAATATCGGTACGCCTGACGAGGTCCGTGGTATTCTCAGATGAACGTCGATGTCTGTGACGTTAGCGGGAATCAACCAGTCAACCTGTGCGATAACATAAACAAACGGTGAACCTTGCGTAAAACGCTAGCCCGATACAGTTCACTGATCCACCTGGGGTACAAGGCGTCGTGGGCGACAGACCGCTAGTCTACTCGCTCGGCCTGTCAAAGACCTAGATCCAATGCAGCCCGTACTGTTGATCTGACATTCCGAGTATCGTAACAAAACAGCTGCGCCCTTTCAGCGCAGACCTTGGCACCAACGACTGACACCCTCACAGTCGGAACACCGTAGGGCAATTCATTACCAACGCACGTCGCGGAACGTGTCGGAGTTCGATGGGATCGAGCGAAGAGGAGCCGGCTCAGCAGGAATGTGAAGGAGTGAGGGAGGTCGGAGAAGGAGGTAAAAACGAACGGAATCGAAGAGAGGAATCTGACGAACTTGAGGCAAAAGCAAGATTTATGGCAGAATCAAGATAGATACCAGTCATCATCACTCCCGCGGTTCTCAAGAGAAACACCAGTCGATAGCAGCGACCAAACATCTGGTACGTTACTCCCGGCGGCATGACGGTTAAACCATAACATCCTCTATAGCGTCTTGCCAAGTCAAGCGAGCTACACGTCGCGGACCACTAGGCTGGCTCCCAAGCGTACGTACCGACGAAAGAACGTGGTGATCGAAGGAACGCTCCTGTGACGACCCTTACATCTTCTCATATGCTATCCGCTCCATTCATTTCCGCGACCAACTTGCAATGCATGCTCACTGCCTATCGCTGCTTTTCCCGGAAACCAAGCACTGACCGGAGTCTCTGAAGCGAGAACCGAGCGAAATCAACTCCGATCACACTGATCGATGGGAACACCGACATATAAGTGGCAATGAGGCGGCCGCGTTCCGACACAGCCGGTCAGTACATCAAGTTGTGCCGGTCCATCGACCTGGACGGTTCTGACTTAGGTGAACAGCTGGAGCTGTTGCGTCGCCCGTTTGGCTGTACGGTGATGCCTTCTTAGCATGACCATTTGGCCGAATGGTCCCAGAGCTTAGGTTCGCGCTCAGTCTGGACCAGCAGGGTAGAGCCGCGGTGTTGTGTCTCTGTGAGCCTCGGTGGTGGGAAGAATGTCCGAGACACGGCTCTTGCACGCCACTGGAATCACACTAGATGCACAGATATACGCTATGGCGCCCCCTGCACGGTGACGTGAGGGTCGGGGCGGACACGACCCCGCCCACACTGAAAAATTAGGGTAGGTCAGCATTGCCGGGGAGCGCTGAACAATGTTGGGTCAGCTCCGAGTGGGTCGATGGACCCAAGATCACAGTAGTCGTAGTATCTTCGCGAAGCCTTTGACCCAAATCCATTCGTGTGCGCCCGAGCACAGAGCGAGAATCTTAGCAGGAATGCTTCTCAGACGTTGGTGAAGTTCTAAGCGGCTGACGAATACGAAACTTTGAACTGCCAGACTTCAGGCCTCGTGCGAGCCACTTTGGCGTTGCACGGTGCACGTTACGACACCGGTGCCTTATAAGCTGCTACGAGACAGTTTGGACTCCTCAAGCCTGAGCCCGTTGAGGCTTTAGCGTTGTGGCATTATGGGGGCCTTGAGATGTTTGTCGGATATCTTGTGGCTCAAGAGATGACGGTGGCGGGGACGACTCTGGTTACGTACAGCGGAGCGGATATCGTGACGACCGCCATCGCGTATCCGCATATCAGTCAGCGTTCTGGGTCATAGGGTCAGCCCATGCATTGGCCTTAGATTAGGTTCGCCTCATAAGTAGAGGCTGGATCTGGTGCTACCCACATGCGGATGTCTGGATAGCACTGTCCGGCCTTGGGCTGCTGAGGTTGAGATCTCGACGAAGGACTCCCTACGCCTGTCAAGGCAATCTAACGCACATCCGTGCTCGGTCTTGAGGGAGCGGACGTCAAACGCAGGAAAGCTACACGCTCACTCATTTGCGGAAACCTAATGAAAACATTTAGGCCAGGTTGAGTAGTTCTCGAGCGGCGTCTGGTTTGCAGTTTCGGGGACAGGAATGGCGAAGGGTGCATGGAGCAATCCTGCTCCACTCCGACGCACACGTTTAAGCAAATGACTGGCTGCTTGCCAAGCAACATGCCTAGGTTAAAACTGCGTCAGATGACCGAGGATCGAGATCTGGGCTGTTGTGCAGTTCATCAGCATTGCAGATGGGCGAACAGGATGGCGGCGATGACGGGACCTTCGCCCAGGTCGTTCGTCTCATCAGTCGTTTGGAAGTTCCGGTATCGATGGCTGGAAGTTGCGACATAAGTTTGGAAGTTGCGGTTGATGCCACATGGTTACCAGCGTGCATTAATGACAACAGTACACAAGGTATCTTAGATGCTTACACAATCCGCTCTATCCTTGCCCCAGGATACTGCTCGATCAGCTCAGTGTTGGCCTTCTCGACCTGGCACCGGCGCCACTCAGCCAGCGAGCTGGGGTTCACAATCCATATTCGTGCCCTGTGCGCGTCTTGCCCATCTTCTTTCGTCCCCTCCTCAGCATATGCGAAGGGGATTCCCTCCATGACGCCCTGTTCGCGAAGGACTTTAAGTACGGCACCACGGTTGTTCGTGAGAATCGTCATGCCCCCCGCAATGCCGGCCAAGAGCGTGCGCAGCGTGTGTCCGCTCGGCAACTTTGAGTTCGTGAATCGCGTCCCGACCCTCGCTCGCTGCGGGTTTCGGGATATTCTCATATTTTTCGGCTTGCCTGTCGGCCTGGGCTGCATAGCCTGCCCATCGGTATCGGGGGGAAAGCCAGTTGCGGGTGTCTCGGTGGGCGTATCCTCGGAGGAACTGAGCATCTCGCGGCACACGTGCGCGACCGCGCTGTCGAATGGAGTCGACAGTATCCTCTCATGCTGTGGAGAGACGCCCTCGGCGGTCCAGCTGGGTTCATCCTCCAGCACGCGAACACGGAAGTCGCGCAGGTTCTCGCTAACTTTTCCCTCCCATCTCGACCCGGCCCAGAAGTTGTTGGCATTGAACATTGCTTGCGCTCGGTAGCGCTCCCTCTCGCCACCTATTACATCGACAAGCTTCGGCAGGCGGTCGCGCACCTCACGCGTTATCCAGAAGCGAACAGTCCTGCCGTTCAGCCGGTGTATCATCTCTGTGATCAGGGGGCGGCGGATCTCGCACCGCAGCTGGTCTCGCAGATCGCGCGTTGCGTTTGTATAGTTGCCGAGAACGAGACGGTTGTCTGCGGGACCATCGGAGCCCTCAGGGGATGAGGCAAGCTTCATCGTTCGAAAACGAGACTCTAGCTCGTACTCGTCTGCAGGCAATGGATGGTGTGTCGAGTCACAGCAAAGCGCAATCATAATGCTGAGGTCGAGGACGATATCCTCTGCTGGCTGCAGGGGCGGTATGTGTCTAGGTTCGGGAATGGCCCACTGAGAGTCGCAGAAGTCGACATGTATACCGAGACGCTGCATTTCCGTTATCGTCTCGCCAATGCGGGAGTCTGAGTGTCCAGTTTGCCGGCAGGCGGGTGAGGATGTAACGTAGCCGTGGCGGGGCCAGTCCGGGCGTGCGAGGGTATTGTGCTGCGGCGGCTGCCAGAATCCTCGCGTTCGTAAGAAGTGAGTTCGTAAGGTTCGGCGCCGTGTCGGAGGAGTCGCTTTCCCAGTCCGAGTTGATGTACGAGTCCTGTTCACGAAACTCGACGAGGAGGCGGGATTCCTTGATTCTCTTTGTCAGCGGAAATGCCACGGAGCGTTGGGGTGCCGAGTCACTGCTGCGAGAATACCTACGTGTTGACCTTGATCCACTCACCGCCTCCGTCGCCAACGACATCGATCTTCATGCTCCCATTCCCGTTCTTAAAGCCCGGTACCTTGTCGATCGCTTGCCAAATTGCCGTCACCGGCTTCGGAGCCCGCAAGAAAGCTCCCCATACTCCCTCTAGGCTGATCAGATTTGAGGTGTACTCCGCCGGCTGCGATGCAGATCTACACAACTGAAGGTCAGCTAACAGCACTCACGGAGTTAGTTCCGCTCTGCCTGATGCTCTGATTTGGCACTTTCAGAGAAGCATTCGGCGCCCGTTTTTCGTGGATCACTGGGTGTGGGGAGACTCACGGACTCGATAATTGCTTGCTCCTTCTCGACGTGATGCAGGAACTTCGAGAGGCCCTGGATAGTCGTCTGGTCGTAGTCCTGAGGGTGGTGCCAGTCTATCACTGGCGAGAGAAAACGGTCACTCGCAGGCATGGCGGCCATGTATCCCTTTATCTGGGCGACGAGCTTGTTCAGCGCGGCCAGCGTCGCCGGTAGTCCCTCCGACATGGCTAGAGAATCAGTGACTGCTGCGGAAGCGGAAAATGCGGAGGCTCACAGCGTATCCTTTCGACCGGCGAGACCTCAAGGGACTCCGTGTCGCCAAAGTGATGATGAAGGGGTCGTCAGAGCCAAGGGCATCAGCTTGTTATCCTCCACCGACAGGGATCTGCGGCTCAGACGACCTCCACCGCGAGCTGCATTGCGTTTGCTGCAGGGCCTCCACATTTTGTCTCCGTTGCGCGCCTGACGCGCCTGCCTTCATGAGCGTGCCTCCGCCTCATGGCGCGCCCAGGGCTGGCAGGACTGGTAGGGCTGATAACAGCGCAAAGCGTGTCCTGAGATCCAAGCGCGAACAATGCAAACTCGTTCGTACCATACCCAACCTCCGTCGCGTCCGCCATGCTTTCATATGAGGAACAACGTCTGAAGAATATCCGGTGAGCTACTGGGATGGACAGTACAGCTGACGACAGGGAAAACGAGGATCTTCTCAAGTCGCTTGGCTTGGCACCGATGAAGAAAGCTCAACCCCCTCCACCGAAACCAAAGGCTGCGAAGAAGAAGAAGAAGGACACTGTTGACGACGACGACTACAGCGCGAGTCCGGAGCGCGAGCTCAGGCGCAGCGGTCGCGCCCGGAAGCTAGTGCAACGCGACGACAGTAGTAGCGAGGACGATTACGAGCCGACACCATACTTGAAGCGCGCGATGAAGGCCGAACGAAACAACTCTACAAGACAGCGGGTTGACCAGCCGCAGCGCATCCAGCAGCGCTTAGGTGAGCGTCTGCACGACCCAAAGACATTTGGTCCCATCCCTGGGGTTGAGGTTGGCACCTGGTGGCCTTCGCGCATGGAGTGCTCAACCGCTTCAATCCATGCCCCTACCGTTGCGGGCATCAGCGGCAATGCTATTGAGGGAGCGTGGTCCGTCGCCCTATCGGGCGGATACCCTGATGACGTTGATTTCGGCGAGGCGTTCACATACACTGGGTCCGGAGGGCGCGATCTCAAAGGCACCAAGCAGAATCCGAAGAACCTTCGTACCGCACCGCAGACGTTTGACCAGAGTTTCGATAACTCCTACAATGCTGCGCTGAAGGTGAGCTCAAGGACACAAGTGGACATGCTGACCGAACAGAGATCCGCGGAGACACGTAAGCCTGTTCGTGTTATCCGCGGATTCAAGCTCGACTCGAAGTACGCTCCCGCCACGGGCTATCGCTACGACGGACTCTATGTCGTGGAGAAGGCGTACATGACCAGAGGGCTCACGAAGGGTTTCTTGGTGTGCAAGTACGCTTTCAAGCGCCTGCCCGGCCAGCCACCTCTGCCCATTCGAGAAGACGACGGTGGGAACGCCGATGAGGGCGAGGAAGTGGAGGAGGATGAGGAGATTGTGCGACCTGAAGATGAGGACGTCGGTGACGAGTTTGACGGAGGAGAAGAGGACAATGGACAGGCAAGTGAGGAGGTAGGCAACGATCATGGTCGCGAGGGTCAAGCCAGGGGGAAAAGGAAGAGACAAGGAGACCAGGACAGCGACGAGACCGGTGACGAGGAAGCTACGGCTGATGGTGATGGCGAGGAGCTCAGAGCGGAGGGAGACATGGACGATGCCGATGAGGACACGGGAGAGCAGGAATCGGATGCGGAAGAGGATGAGCCCGTCGCGAAGCGAGGCCGTGGTCGCCCTCGCAAGCACCTCATCCAGTCTCCTCCGCGCAGACGAGGCCCAGGCCGTCCTCGCAAGAACCCACTCCCCGCTGCTGAAGGCGAACCTCCAACGAAGAGGGGCCCAGGTCGGCCTCGCAAACATCCTCTGCCTGAAGCTCTCACGGAGAAGCGTGGAGGAGCGCGCACGCGTACGAACCTACAGCCCAAGGACACGACAGCGGCTGCTGAAGAAGACGAGTCAGAGCCGCCAGTGTCGAAGAGGGTCAGGGGTCGACCACGCCAGAAGTCGCTCTCCAATGCGCCGGGTGAGGAGCCGAGGGAGGCCGCGGAGCCTACACCGGCAAGGAGAGGAAGAGGATGGCCACGCAAGGGCGGTGTCTCTGATTCTCCCACCCCTACCGAGTCTGAACTCGAAGCTCCCGCGAGGAGAGGTCGAGGAAGGCCGCGTAAGAGTGATCCTGCTCCCGCCGCTGAGTCTGTCATGATCGAACCTGAGCCCATTCGGCGAAGCTCCACGCGGTTCCGCAAGAGCGGAGCCTCTGAGGGTCTAGCGCCGACAGCGCCCGATGCTACCGAAGTGACGCCGGCGAAGCCGGCACCAGGACGCCCACGCAAGCACAACCCCGGCGGGTCTACTTCCGTCAACGTCGAGGAACCCGAAGCAGCGCCCGTGAAGCGCGGCCCTGGCCGACCTCGCAAGAGCACGATCACGACCCCCAAGCTAACCTTGCCTCGCCGGACCTCCGGCCGTCTCTCGACTCACTCCACGCGCACCGAGTCTGAGGCGGCCGAGGTTGACGAGCTGCTCACGCCCGCCGAGCTGCGCCGCTCCACCCGCCGCGTCTCAACTCCCCAGACTCCAATTGGATCGCCGCTTGTTTCTAAAGCTACGGGGCAGATCAACACGCCTGCTACACCTCTCCAGACAACTCGCGTGACCCGCCGTCTCAGAGCTCACTCAGCAACGCCTGGGAGTAGCAAGCCTCGTCGCATCATGGAAGTCGTCATCCCTACGCCATCGCCAGCGCGAGAGCAGTGAGCCTCCTCTTCTCTCATCCCCGACACGCGCACTCGCGCACTTGCCAGCGATCCCCGTTCTGCTATTCAAGGCCGCTGTGCATAAACATACCCATGCGCAGACTTACACGCCATTGATGATACCAAAAAAGGAAAAATGAGTTATATAGTTCTACACAGTTTATGTTAAGGGACGGAGAAGAACAATCCCCTGCCTGTCGCCTGTATTGCCTACCGTACACCTACACGCCGTACACGCACTCATGATCCTGACTAACGATATACCGAGGCGCTAGTGCTACACTACTCGTCTTACCCCTCTGGGTGGAGACGGAAGGGCCGCCTCCCATGTTAGAACTGGCGATTGACAAAGATGGCGCTCGTCTCTGCCGGCTTCGCCGCGTTCTTAGCGACGACTTCGATCTTGGTCTCGACACGAGACATGGGGACAGTCCACCGCATGCCTGCGGGCTTATCTCCGTCTTCCCCATACACGGGTTTCGGTATCGGAACGGCCGTGCCGTTGACGCGGAGACTGAGTTCTGGCCGCTCAGAGCCCGGAGTACCGCCCTCGATATCCAACCACGCCGTGAGCTGCAAGCTCGACACGTGTCCGCCAACGAGCACGGCGTGGTTCAACAGGCCCTTGTAATTCGTCAACCGGATCGCACTGGGGCCCACGACGCCCTCGAACCCATACGCCAAGTCGATGTGCTTCACTGTCGGAGGGGTTTGGAGCTCGAGCTCAGGCCGTTTTGGCGTTTGCGCTGAAGGGGCGGGGGCGGGCACGCCACGCTTCCGCGCATCGTTCGCAGCCACCATCTGCTTGTATATGGACTGCGCCAGCGGTGGCAACGAGTTGAACCACATCTGCCGCTCGCCCTCAGAGTATCGGTCCAGGTTGGCCACGATCTCCTCCGTCACAACGCCGGGCTGTAGTTGCGGGAGGTACGCCTGCGGAGCCGGTGATGGCGGTTGCTGCGCCGGCGAAGCTGCTTGCTGCGCCATGAATGCTTGTCGGGAACGCATGGCCTGCGTCTGCGCCTCGAGGATGTCTTGATGATACTGTTGCTGCTGAGCCTGGCGCTGCTGCATGAGCTGGTGTTGCGCCTGTTGATGCTGTATCGCCATCGGCGGCGGGGGCTGCTGTTGCGGGACAAATTGCTGCGTCAACCCAGGTGTCGGAATTCCGTAGGCGCCGGGGACCATTGGTGATGGCTGAGGTACATGACGCACCGGTGTCATCTGTGGTTTGTGCTTGCCGCCCTCCTTGAACATAGCGAGCCGCTCCTTGACGAGCTCACGGTGCTGCGTCGTAATGTCCCGAATCTGCCGGGCATCCCGCCACACCTCCGAGTTATCCTCATTGTACTGCATCGCATTGTCACACATGAGGTCGAGCTCGTCGAAGAAGGCGTCAGCAGAGTCGTACCGTCGGGCGAACATGCGTTGTTCGATATCGTTCAGAGATATGGGGTTCTTGATTTCTCGATAGTAGTCTGGGAATTGCCGTCGGTCGGGAAGCTGCAGAAAGATGGCGGCGACGTCTCGGTTCTCGCCACTGTGGGATCAGCTTCCGTGTAGGGGAAGAGTAGGAGTTGGGGAAGGGTGACTCACTCGTCTGATCGCGCCTCCTTGATCGCCCGCATACAAGGCTTGATAAGCTTGTACACTGTGGGACCATCCTTCATGTAACTACCCCGCTTCTTTCCCGTGCCCGGTCCGCCGTGTGGCCGTGGTGTCGACGAAGCTGTTTCGGACATTGGCGTGGAGGGGCCGGCAGGTGAGGGTGCCTCAGTCGACACGGCTGTCCGGGTCGGCGGGACCTTCCGCTGGGGCGTGGGCTGCGGTGGTTCCTCGGCCTCGCTTTCCGATCCGTCGTGGTCTGTCGTGTGGCTGCTGTAGAAGTCGCGGGTGACCTTGTGCATCTTCTTGGCCCACTGAAAGATCAAGGATTCACGCATGTTGTATCGCTTGGCGTTGTTCCAAATCTGGCCAAAGTCGTTGCAGACATCGTTGAGCGTGTTATATTGAGCCTTATCGAGCCTCTCCTTGACCATTTCGAGGGACATGGGATGCTTGATCGTTTCATAATAGTCGGGGAATTGTCGCTGGGAGGTGTCAGATCGGTAATCAAAAGATAACTTTTTAACCAACCTTGTTGGGCAAGTGGATGAAGGGTTCAGCCATGGATTCACCGCTGTTGTCAGATTCGGGCACGCGAAGGACAGGGTTGGAGCGGTGCTGCAACTCACTCTGACTCTCGCATCGCGGAAATCTTGTTGTAAAGTTGGAGGCCAAGCTGCTTCGCGCGTGCGGGATCCTTGGGATCCGGGTCTTCCTTGGTTTGGGGGCCGGGTGATGGGGTGCGTCTCCGCTTACTCCGGCCCTCGGTCGATAGGATGAGTTCGGGATTGACATCGAGGCGACGCTTGCGGGCGGGTTTCTCAGGGGACGCAGAGCCAGCCGGAGGTGCAGCGGATGCAGCCTGCTCTGTCTTGACTGCCTCTGGGTGGGAACCCATGATGAGGGCGTGGGTGGATGCAGAAGTATTCGAAAAAGGTGGATGGGAATCGATGAAAACAACAACAAGGCTAGGGGAGCAGCATGGGTCGTCATGATCGAGCTCGACGGCGTGCGTGCGGCCACCACCAACACGCAAATTTGCTTCCGTCCATGAACACCAGGGCACGGGCGTCACCTCAAGTGGAGGGCTGTCCACTTAGCCAGGCGATTTTGTTGTTTGTGTTTGTCGTAAACACAATTGCGAATTCGCTGCATCATCTCTCGACCTCTCGACTCTCGGACTCGATCGACTCGAGTGTGTACATCAACACACACAGCACAGACAACTGTAGGCAAGCTGTAGAATTGTGTGGGCTGATGATATAGACATATCTAGGTGCGATTTGCTCTCTGGCAAAACCAGACCACGTGTGGCGGCGCATTGCATCAGTTCAACATGAGCCGCGCGCCGTTGGGTCTCTGCATTCAGCCAGCATGCCTGGAGCACAAATACATCAGGCATAGGGATTCCTCTCATATTTTTGAGCGGCCAGAGCGACTTCGCGCAGTGCTGCTCGGCTTCGCAGCCGCGCTGGCCCGACTAGAATCGGTCGATGGTCCTAGGGCAGCCAACGGCAACGGGACGACAGACGACTTGAGTAACATGCTGTCAACACTGTCGCTCGTCAACTCAGTGTACAGTTCGGACTGCCTGAACGTTGTGCCACCTCCTACGCCTCCGACAACTCCTGGAAATGTGCTGTTGCACCATCCTGCACTGCAACTGGCGCATTCGCCACCCATCGAGGCTCCGTTCCCTTATCTGCCGAGGAGTAAAGGTGCAGCGTTACCGTCCAGCACATATCTCCGTGACTTGTTTAAATGGGCCAGCGAGGCTGTTGAGGCTATTAAGAACACGGGCTGCGAAATTCCGGACGACATGGGTTTAAACCCGGGAGACCTATATCTCGGACCAGGCTCTATCCTTGCGATTGAAGGGGCTGTAAGTTGAGGCGCAACTTACGCAACTAACCACCCAGGTGCAAACGGTGTGTCAGGCTGTAGATGGTGTCTGCAGAGATCAGACGTCCGCAGGCCTCAAGCCGGAGGTTCCCTCGACGCCCTCCGCGGACCCTCTTGTTCCGCCGTTCTCGAAAGCGTTTTGCGCCATCCGACCACCTGGTCACCATTGCGGGGAAGATGCGCCGTCTGGGTGAGTTGGGAGACTTATATAGCCTTGCTAACGAGCAGATTCTGCTACGTGAACAACGTCGTCGTCGGTGCCATGCACGGTGGGTGGGAAGGGCATGTGCCCAGCTAACCTTCAGCGTACATCCAACACGATATTGACCGAGCAGTCATCATCGATTTTGACTTGCACCACGGCAACGGCACGCAGGCGTTGGTGATGCCGCTGAACGCTGCGACGTACGCAGAGGACCTTGCGCAGAAGGCCGGCAAACCGCCGCCCATGGAAAGCGGGAAGAAGGGGCCACGAAGAGGCTGGAAAGGATTCTACGGCTCAGTGCACGACATCTACAGCTACCCTTGCGAGGTGAGTTATAGAACCGCTGTCAGTCGGCTGACTTACAGGATGGTGACCTCGACCTGATCCGTGATGCGAGCGTGAACCTGGCCGGCCACGGGCAGTACATCCAAAATATTCACCTACAGCCCTACGCGAGCGAGGAGGATTTCTATGAACGCATCTATCCTCTCTACCTCGCTCTGCTGGAGAAGGCTCTGGTGTTTATGAAGGAGACGGACGCAGACCCAGAGCGGACAATGCTGTTCATATCCGCTGGCTTTGATGCCTGCGAACACGAACATCAGGGCATGCAGCGGCACGACCGACGCGTTCCCGTAAGCTTCTATTCGCGGTACACCCGCGACATTGCGGTATTCGCGGACAAGCACCTGAATGGTCGCGTGGTCTCAGTTCTCGAGGGTGGGTATGGCGATCGCGCTCTCACTAGTGCGGCGATGTGGCACGCAATCGGCCTCCTTGACCGGCAGGGACAAGCGGACTGGTGGAGTGTTGAGCAGCTCATGCTCTTGGAGCGTGCCGTTAAGAAGCGACGTAAGGGCAAGCTGTGCGCGCTCCCGCCCGACCTTGCCGCCGACCCCGTTCTAGCACGTATACACGCAATTCTCGCCCAGTTCGAGGGCACCATGCCCGCTTCTCCGGCGCCCAGCGCCGCGCCGAGCACGCAAGCCACGCCGCGCATGACATTACGCGAGCGAAAGCCAAAGACGATGTACAGCGACTCGCCACCGCAGGAAACGCGCCGACGTCCGAGGGCCGTCAAGGAGGAGCCAAGTCCTAGCAAACCTAAGGAGGTTGCCAAGGAGGAGTCCGCCAAGGCCGAAGGAGCGTATCCCTCGCCGGTCAGTAGCGCCGGATCTCCGCCCGCTGCCGAGCAGCCCGAACCTCGCATCGTGCTCAAGATCCCGCGTGTCACAACTCCAGCCGCCCCTGGTACACCCGTCGCGAGCACCCTTGTTGCCACTGGCGCCGAGAGCGCCGCACCATCGCCGATCCCGACGCATTCGCTGCGTTCGCCCATGCCGCCGCGCCAGCAGTCTGAGAAGGCCGCGTCGGCGGGTGCGCCAACAGCCGCCAGCCGTTCCTCGCGTGCAGGCGCAGCTCGCTGCTGCTCGCCCCGCGTCATTCACATATTCGCCGCCCCAGTCGTCCGACCCGAGTATCCCAACAAACTCGCTGCAGTCTCCTCCAGTGGTGACGACCGCCTTCGCCCCATCCTTCCCGGACTCCTTCCGCCCAAGCCAGTTAACGGCTCCTGACTTACCGCCTACGCCAGTGCGTCCTGGCCGGCCAGCTCAACCAGCAGTCATGCCTGCTGTGATTCCCAGCGGACCGAGCTTTCACGCCATGCCGAGCCTGAGCAGCATGATGGTTGGCGATCCCTCGCTGCGTGTGCCGAAGGAGCCGGAGCCAGATTGCGCGTACCGCGTAGGCGCACCCGGTCAGCCACCCAGCGTGCCGCGCACCCCGAAGGGCGTCGTCGAGAAAAGGCAGTAAGGTGCGAGGTGCATCGCACGGCTTCGTCGGCGGTTGTGGTTTCCACATCTCCACTTTATAGATGCCGTTCTTCTTCGGCACAGTCCTCCCTTCGATTGTCTTTCCTTATCGATGTTTCGGTCTCATTAGTTATCTCTCTCGTCTGCGTGTCGACTCGGAACTTCCAGGTGTCCATGGTTCACAGCGAAGGCAACCTAGCGGCTTATGGCTGCGACTGTTGCCCTCGGCAGATCTTGCATACCTCCGTCCCCTGAGAGCGAGGACGCTGCTTCGAATATGACCACCTGGACGACCCCAGATACAATATGTAGCCACAGCAACGGGTCCGGCTGCTTATGAAGATTAGAATGCGGGATGCGCTGTCTCGAGTCTTTCTCTTGCTTCTTAAGCTGCATGGTGTTGCGAAGGAGGGACAGGCGCGGCGAGAAAGTACGTGTGGGGTAGGCATGACAGACGAAGTTAGAGGATGGAGAGTAAGAGTGGCTTAGTTTTGCCCTCATGCCATAGTATTCATGACACGAACAGTTATCGCCGCCAATAAGCATAGCTTCGACTCGAGAGAGAGAGAAGTACCACAGGCAGCGGAACTCAGCTGACATATGCTTCGACTGCGGAGGTGCTCGGATATTGATGGCGGAGATATGTGACGATGCCTTCCTGGGTGACATGGGACAGGGTTGTGATGGCGCGGAAGCCCAAAAGCATGTTGAGCATCGTGAATGTGCACCCTGAGGTAGATTGAGTCATGTTTGGCTCGACACGACTTTTCTATACCCTGGGATTAAAGCTGCATGGTGAGTGTTCGCTACAAGACTCGCGCCGAGGTGAAAGTCCGCGGCTAGGACACGACCATTCGACAGGTGTTACTCCGATTCAGCTACGGATGTCAAATTGCACAGTGTTTTCATACACAGCGCCTACAGGACCTCGATGAAATCAACTTCAGACTGGACTGAGACGTCCTGTGAAGCTCTACTTAAGTAAGGTTCAATCTCTCCTCGACCCTCCACAAGCGTTCGTCGTGCGGCGTCATCTCGCGGAAGATCTCTTGAAGCTGATTCTGAACCGAACGAGTCTGGGGAAACCCACGCTCCTCACACTGGTTGTTTGTCTCGGCGACGCCGTTCTTGATACCGAGTCCGTCGTCATTGCACTCGCCGTTTCCTCGCACATTGCCGACCACTGTCGGAGCGGGCGTCTGCGAGGCGATAGCGGGCATCCCGGGGCCCAGCAAGTCACTATTTGAGTCGTCTCGACACACACGAAGAAACTCGATGAACGAGAAGCCCGTTGAATTCGTTAGTTCAACACAAAGGCATTATCTCAGCTGCACCGTACCGAGCCCTTGCTCCTTCGTCCGTGACCTAGACATCTCGTCCGTGACCTAGACATCTCCGGTAGACAGCTGAGTCGAGGATGGGGAGGGGGATACAGTTTAAACTTTCGCAAAGGGTTAAGCAGCCCTGCCGGCGGGATGGTCCACGTCTACCAGAGCGTTTCATCTCTCGAGTTTCGAGCGGGAGTCGGCCAGACTCAGTCGTGCTGACCCCTCCTCAGACACCCAGCGTCCAGCTGCGAGTCAGGCAGCTAGCAGATGAAACGAGCTACTGGGTTTGTGAAACTGCTGGCCACCTACAGTGGTGGTCAAAAAGGTTGTCCACCTCCTAGTACGGTTCCTGCCCCAGCCAAGGAATCACCTCTGCTTTGCTGGGATGACCGGTTCTCTGGCCTGGTGCTGATACACGCCCTGAGGACAACCTTTTTGACCACCACTGTACGCCTTACGCTCTGTTACGCTGCCGCCCTGCAGTGCTACTGACCTGCTGGACAACGCAGGGAGGGCTACAGGCACGCCGTACACGCTGGGTCGAAGACACGGGCAGATTATGTTTAAGCGTAGAGGATCGTCACGATTCCCGCGCCTTAGTGCTGTCCTTATCCTGTGTCCCTAAACCTCCCGCTGACCCGCGCTCACATGCTCGTTCGCCTTCCTTCGGAGCTCGTTCTGATCTTGTGGCCTTCCCTGCGTTGCCTGACCTCCTTGCTCCTGTGTCGGCTGACATGAGCCTCAGTGTAATTCACGGACGGTACTCGAGGTGTGGCGTGCGGGGCCACGGAGGGTTGAAAGGTGGTACGCAGGATCTGTTGGAACGCAGGATCTTCCTCTCTGCTGAGCTGCTGACTTGCTGCGCTCGTCGACGTATCCATTAGGGCCGACGCATGGACCCATCACAGCGAGCAAGGACAGGCAGCTACAGACATGCGGGTGAGACAACGGCCCTCGTCTCATGCTGAACAGTCGTCATGCACACAATGCACATACCGGCGAGTGACTCACCCACTCGGCCACTCGCGGTCACCGCCATTCAGTCTCAGGCAGATGAAGGAGAGGCGCAATGGGGTTGTCTGCACGCCGCACGCACGCCCGAGTCGCGAGTTGCGCCTCTGACGTCGTCTTGTCTCATCGACTGTCTATAGAGCTATGAAGAGCCGCGCTGCTGCGCCGCTGCACACGCTCAGAAGTCACCTTACATGCTCTTGGAACACACTCGGGGCTGCGACGTTGGCCAAGACTGCGGCACCAGCGTACAGAAAGCAGCAGAACTCACCCTCACTGGTTCCGAGCGAAGTCAGACCAGAGACATCATTCCGCCCAGTGTTCATTGCCAGTGTCACGGCCATGTTCGGGGCACAGAGGGTGTAAGTGCTCTCTCAAAGCAGCGAGAGAAGGCAGTCGGCCTGGAGCTTGCAGCACGGCGCCTGTTGTCGTCATGCATGATCCGTCTCCTTCTCGCCCCTCTCATCGCGGGTCGTTCCCAAACGTAATCACTTTCCAAGGTGAACACGCGGAGCGACGATCCCGGGACGTTCCTTGCCTTCAAGGTCTGCTCCACTTGTTCCGGACACGCTCTAGTCGGCACATGCCCCGGCATCCGACACTATGCGAGGACAGTCGATGTGAGATATGTTTTCCCTACGCTATACCGCCGGGATAATCTCCATCCCGCCATCACGTTCAGGTTCTTCCGGTACCTCCCTCCTGCATCTCCCGTTTGAATGGCAAAGAGCTGGAGCATGGAGGAGGAGGGGTGGGGAGCGAGGCAGATAAACTTTGCCAGCGGCAGTTCCAACAGCCTTCCCCATCGTGGGGATAATCTAGAACGAGGGTCTTCACCGTCTGCAGCAGTGCACTTCGCCCACATGGGCTGGACGGCCCATCTCGCCAGGAACCGCGAAAAGGCTCCTAAGCTCCGCAATCTTATCTTGGAGTTTCGCGCCGGGATGCCGTTACATTAACATGAGGCGTGACACCTGTGATGCCTCCGCGCGGGCACATCGTTGCCGCACTTTTCACTTCTGACGTGCACTGCCCGCACTGCTCGCACTGCTCCAATGACACTGTGCTTCTCTTCCGTATCACAGCTATGCAAGACAGCGTTTGGGACGCAACGCTCTGCACTGGTTCGAGCCAGTACGACGCTTATCCACTGGCGCATGTGCAACTCGCCCCGCTTCCTCCATCGCGGCTTGCGCCAGTCGCACGATGATGTATATTCATGTACACGTATACCTATTGCCTATTGTTACAGTGAATGTCCTGCTTGATGAAAAATGCTGATGTACTTGGTTGCAAGACAATGATGATGTTGATGAGGTCGTTAAGAGAGGGACAGAGTTTAGTAGGTGATTTTGAGCCCGGGCCACAGGTCGTGCTTCGGCGCTTCCCAGGTGTCGCCAAACTTGGGACACGGAGGGAGTGGCACGTCCGGCGGCGCCTGGTGCTGGTGCCACTCGGGGGAAAGGCGCTCGGACACTTCGGCGGCATCGGCAAACTGGGCCTTGCGCTCGGGAGTCGGCGAAAGGGGTTCCTGGCAGTAGCCTTCGTCCGAGGCGAAGGAGAGAGAGCGCTCCATTGTCGGCGTAGTAGGCAGAGGCTCGGGGGATGCGGATGACGAGCGATCGTCCAGCTCCGGCTCGCTCTCCATGTCCGACAGGTCGTTCTCCATAATCGACTCGAGGGAAGAGGATGGGTGAGAGGCGGTCCCGTCGAGCTCGGCGGCAGTAACAGACTGAGACAGGGACGAGCGCTGCAGCGGAGTAGCATTCAGGGTGTCCGTGCGACGGAGCAGGCCGTTCGAGAACGCCCGGCGAAGAGCCTTGTCGGCGTCCCGTGTCAGCTCCATGTGCTCGAACCACTGGCGCTTGCCCTCCTCGCGCTCGTAGCGGGTTGCGAGCTTGGTGATGCTGCCGAGGCGAGCAGCGAGGTGAGTCACCCGCGTGAGCTGAGCACTGTAAATGACTCGCTGGGCCACGGGCATCGCGCTAACGGCAGGCACGGAAGCGAGGAAGCGTTGGGGGGAGCCGGGCGCCATGGACGAGTCGCTGCTCGAGGTAGTCGCGGCGAACTCCGAGTCGCCACCGAGGGTCGACGACGAGTCTCGGCGGTCGTGCAGCGACACCTGCTCAACGGACAGGTCGAGCTGGAGACCAGAGGCCTCGACAAGCTCGACGATCTCGTCACGACCCCTGTTGAACTCGGCAACCTTCTGGTTTGCCTCGCTCTGGATCGTCCAGAGCAGATAGGCAGAGGGGAGCGTCTCCTTGAGGACGGGGAGAACATGGCGGCGGAACGCGTCGACAAGGAGCGAGCGTGCCTGGCGGCGGTGCGCGCGAGCAGGCTGCTGGTGGACCGCTACGTGCGGGGGAAGAACGGGGCGCGGCTGCGGGGCGCTGATGAGCGGCGTGATGAGCGACGACAAGATGGACATGGGGGAGCGGCGGCCCGAGACGTCGGCCGGCGACGCAACAAGGGGAGGAGGCGCGGTGGAAGCATTGACTGCGGCAAAGCTGAGTTGGACCTCGTTGACGACGTGTCCAAGCTGAGCGATGCACTCGTTGCTGAGGTTGACGTTGATGCTGGTGCCGTCGATGAAGTGCACGACAATCGTCTCCTGGGGAAGAGAGAAGGTCACACTGTCAACGACCTGCTTGTGTCAGCCAGAAACATTGGGGCAATCCAGAGATTATCACTCACGCCGCCGATCCAGGACGCCTTGTCACCGAGGAGGACGTTTGTGCACTCGATGTCCTCCTGGACACAGAGCGAGCGGTGGGCAAGCAGGTTTGGGGGCAACGGGACACCGCGCGAGCTGTTGCAATGTAAGCTGGTGATCGTGTGATAGCGGAACGCTGTAGCGCCGACAAGAAACAATGGGTGTAACGTACGTGTAGGGGCTGGCCGGGAGAGGAAGGGTGAAGAGGATGGTGGGAGGCGCCGGCTGAGCCTGCGTCGGCGCCGGGAGGAGACGAAGGAGCATGATGCGTGGTGAGTCGTTAAGATAGGTGTAGTTCTAAGTGATCCCTCCAGCGCTGGGATCTTTTGATGTTGGTGGTCTATGAGTTTCGTTACTGGGCACACGGGCTTCGATGGGTTCTTGGGGTGACGGGCGATGCGGGCGGTGCGTGCTGCTAATGGCTGCCAGAGCCGGTGATTGTTTATCGAGAGTGAAGGGGGTAAAGATAGTCAAACGAGAATGGTCGAAGAGAAAGAGCAAGAGGTGTCGAGGAATCTGACGGGGGGTCAAGGCGGGTATGAAGAGGGGGGAAGAGTGCAACGCGGCTATCGATATAAGAATGGAGTGCGATAAAGTGTAGGTGGGTAGGAGTGTGCCAGAGTTGGCCAGTGCCGGGTGAAGGGATGGAGGGGTATGGATGAGTGATTGTTGTGCACGGTCCGTGTGCCCTGAACCCTGATCCCTGAATAGTGCGCGAGTGCGCGAGCGCGCGAGTGCGGGCGTATTCGTGTTTCCCTTTGCGTAGTTTGACGTCCCTAGGGCGCATGGGCCAGTCCCTGGAAGCCTCTCCATGGGACCGAGACCCTACCCTCCTCCCTGCGCCGTGGGCGAGCCCTGAGTGTGATCCTGAGGGCCTCCCCGCGGATGCGGGCGAGCGGTGATCGTCACTGCGTGGTTGCAAGTGGACGTGTGGTACGCGGGACGAGCTAAAGTGCGGGAAAAGGCACGCCCAAAGGCGAGGCACAGATTGGCCCCTCCTCTCCTCCCCGGCCTCGAGCACGTCGGGCCCTCTTTTCATGACTGACCCCCGCCAGCCAGTTCGGCCAGTCCAACCAGATACCAGCGACAAGCTACGGGGTGGGCCAGACCCACTACCCACTTATCCTCTCCACCCACCACCGGCTATCACCTAATCAAATCACTTTCCAGCTGAGACGAGCAAACCTTTTCACCACCGTTATGGCTGGGAGGGGGTTCATCTGAACGTGACCCCCGGGCCGGCATGGCATCCGACATGCTGCATGCCGCAGTACCATTGGCAGCGACACAATGTCGGTGGAGCAGAGACAGAGTCCAGAGCACCCCGTAACGGCCGTCACTCTATCGGCGGTGCATGCAATGCAGCCAGCCTGTTCGAGAAGCGGAAAATGTCATTCAACGAACCACCCGATGGCTCTGTTCCGGGAAGCATTCTGCATTCACTCCTAGTCATCAGTGTCACGGCGGGTCACCGGGCCGGGCGTTCAACTGCGGTATACACGATATGCGGCATATGAGGAATGTTCGGTGGTTTTCGTCGATTCTGAGCATGACAATGGTGTCGGTATCTCCGCAACTCTGCGCCTTGCGCCAGCTCTGAGCCCCAGCACATACGGCACCTGGCAGAGTCTCCACACCTTGTTATCCCTAGCTTGAACGAGGTGAGAGCGGGTGGTTGACGCCCATGATCGCATCAATCGTTCCTTGCAACTGGCGCTTGGGTGCGGCAGTGGCCGGGGAGATGAGGCGTCACTGATGGCAGCCACCTGGTGTTCATGGTCTACATTTCCATTGTGCGTCGGTGGCGCCCACGCTCGGGCAGTCCTGGTACGCTACTTGCCAGCACAGGTGGCGTCGGCGCACCGCAGGCTGGACTGTAGGCGTGCCGACGAGTGGGCCGCCCGGCAACAGTTGGTCTGTGCTAACCGCTGGCTCGCTGCTTTACTAACCACCGTCTGTATTGCTCGCAGCCGCTGGCAGAGGTCCAGACACTGACTGCGCCTGTCCTACCACAGGGCAGAAGTACCCCGCAACACTAGCGCTTGGCTGGCCAAAGGGTTCAACTAGGATGGACAACTTAGTTAGGAACCGACACTTTAAGGCACGTTGAGCGTTCCTGGACCATCTCCTCTGAGTTCCGCCCATGCACACCAAAGGCAAGCAGCAAGGAGGATTACATACGACCCAAGAAACTGAATAAAGTTTCGCTGCCCCGACGTGCTTGCGCTAAGTGCTCGGACGTGTCCTTAGGGTGGGCTGGCACCGTGCATTGCGCCGGCGTGGCTGGAAGCGCCGTACGCCGCTCGAACAAAGGAGGTTCCAGCTGAACTATTTGGGCGTTTTCCTAGCTGAGGCCTGGGCATGCTGGGCATGGACGTGCGTCGACAGGACAGAGGGTGTGCGGCACACCGAACTCCGTCGTCAGCCCTCCGCGCCCTCCGGCGCAGTTCGCATTCATGCATCCACCTTTGCATTCAATCAAGCTCGTATTCAACCCAACCTGGTCAAAGCCTTGCCGGAATCTTGAGTTTATCTAAGCGTATGCCGTGTACGTAGACTGCGTCGCCGTTTGATATCAGCGGAACCAAGTCGGAGGTACGGAGAGGTCCTCGAATGTGACACAGTCGGTGAGGCGCGCGACGCGTCCACGATACGATGGCGCCAGAGGGCATTGAAGGCGCGCCGCGTTGATTCCGACTAATCTCGGCTCCCTCATTCATGCCCGGCGACTGGGAGTGACAGTCCGTTGCCAGCCTGATGAGGGACCGGGTACGCAGGTGCATGGAACGCGTGGAACAGGGTGGTTGCCGTTATGCTCCTCCTCAAGACATTCACACTGACATCGGGTGCATGACCCAACCCGACATGGGTTTCGGGGTGCCCATCTCTACCCGCATAGCACGCACAGACTAAGTCGGACTAAAGTGGCAGCTGACTGGTTGGCCCGAGTCCAGTGAAGCGGCATCGATGCCGCAATATGAGCAGACACGCTTACACACCTATCGCACCAATCGTTAGCGAGGTCGATACTCGGGCGAGGAGAGCGCGTGATGCCGTGATAATGCACTTCAAGCAGATTTCGCTACCCCTTAATTCTCTAATCTTTCCTTACACCGCTCCTGATTCCTTCACCCCCCCACGATCCTACTGCAAGTAGTAGCAGCGACATCCCCATGTTAATTTGCTAGCTCTCTATAGTCTCATCGTTAGGCCCGGAGGACACCGTTAGGCTATGGTTCCTACTTGTTTCCCACCGAGCTAGCGATCTCCGGATGCACTACGCGCACTGTCATGGAGAACTGAACGAATCTGAACACGGCCTGGGACCTTTAGTACACGACACAGAAGCCCCAGGGGGGAGGGGCAGCAAGGGTGCCATATGAAATGATAAGGCCCAGCTGAGACACATCCCTACCATTACAATTGCCCACGCGAGCTCGCCGAACAGTCTCCATGCGGTGGGGGGATGTAGGCTGCGTCTTATCGGCGACTAGACCAGCCACACTCGGCGTACGTGAAGTGACCGGCAATTTGACGGCAGTGCGCCATGCACCTGTACGCAATCGGAATCCGCCCCGGTCAACGCCCCGAGTATGCTCCGTCCGCAGTCCGGTGACACACCTCTTGACCTCGAGCATTCCTCATCTTCTACCGAAGAGTCTGGCGCAGGTAGGGTGAGATCGAACGGCCAGTTGCACTCCGCTCGTTTGGTTCCAGCGTCACTCCTGTGTGTGATTTCAACATCTTTCGGCGCGCTTCGCACATCCCACCACGATTGGAGTGACCAGGAGGTCAATGCATGGCACCCGCGGCGATCCCATACTTTGTGGCGCATACCCAGTATTCGCACGGACAGTCCGCTCCATACCACGATTGCTATTGTCTGCCCAGGAGTCTGCTCAGGAGATAACGGGTCTCGGTATACTCGCGACGCTCGCCATGCGCCGTACGCGCCGACTTCCGGAAACTGGTACCGGACGCACTTGAAGTGGACGCACCGAGCACAGCCAGTGCAGATTCCCACCGATCGCACCCTGGTCGGCCGGGTCTCCTCTTTTTCGGGGGACGATGAGATGCCCTTCGGAGTACGGGTTCCAGCACATTTCAGCGGCACGGTGTCAATGCGATCGCAAAAATCGCACCCCACTATCATGGCCACATGCCTCCCCGTGTTCCGTCAAGTTGAGCCTCTTTCTGTTCTCCCTTTGACAGTGGCCCACTGTTTCCCACTCCCCGTAGAGCTTGCAAGCATATCCGCAACAGTCAAGCTCCGGAAACAGTGGCCGGAGTGGGCCGGGTTCCAGGAGATGTGAGGTGCCCTCGGCGGGCACGAGCACGCCGCTTGCTGCAACTTTTGTAAACAGTGCGCAGAACGAAAAGGACGGTGGTGCCGGGTATTGGGTGTCCTTGAGTATGCTCTGCCCGCAGGTCCACCCGCGTGCACATCGGCACAGTGGGCGAAGTGGGAGCGGGCGAGGAGGGTTCAGCAACTGCGCAAGGTTACCGCCTCTCTGCGTGACTACAGATCTCGGCGCCGGCCGTAACGCTCTGAACGAGAGGCCCGACTGTCGGTGATCAACCGACAGTTCCTCCATCTCGGACCGTGGTACCGAAAGTGAGGGTACGCCCCACCATGGGTTCGGGGGTCCGTGCGCGCGTACTCCGTGAAAAGGTGAGGGATTCTCAAGTCGGTGAACATCCCGGAGTTTCCTTGCGACTTGAATCGATAATGACACAAGAGAAAGGACACCTCACAAGCCTTTGACGCCTTGCGATCACTCCCTGTCTTGTTCCCGGAAATGATACCTGTCCCCGCAGGAGGCATGTCTGTCCTGAGTGGCGTGGGTACGAGAGCAAAACTCACGCCAGTCAAGCCTCGTGAACGCGTTGCTCGGCATGTCCAAAATTTCAAGATCGAGGGCCCTCTTCCAGGTACCCCAAGCTCGGCGCACACCCGAGAGTCTGGAGGCTCGTTCGGGTGACCCGTGGAGGGTTTGGCAGGGATGTGACCAAACGACCTCCAGGGCACGCCCTGGACCCAGGACTGATTCCAGCGCGCGCCATATCATGAGCGCTCACACTTCGCACTCTGCATAGCGGTTGCGCGTCAAGCTTCATTCTTACGGCATAGGGATGTGCTCTTTTTCTTCTCCTCCAACCACAGGCAAAGTTGTGCACAACCCCTGCACTTCCCGGACGGGGAGGCGATCTGCATGCGTTTGCGACTTTGTGCCCTGTACATATTGCCCTGCCTTACCTTAACTTTGCACTTTTGCTCGCGCATGCTCGCAGAGCAATCAAACAAGATGAACACAGCTTCGTCGCCTTTGTGGCGTGTTCCTGGCCCAGCACCACACCTTATACCCCACACCTTACCTACGAAGCGCTTTCAGTGTACCTGTGGGTCGCCGCCCCGCCTGCGCCTCGTCGCCCCGCTCGCGCACTCCGCGCCGTAACGTGATGCACGGCACGCAGTATTCTCAACCGTTGACGTTGTCAGGTCGATCGCACACAGAGCCCTTCACGTCACTGGTTCGCCAGGCTTTCCGGAGCCTTTTGCGGATCCAAACGCGCTCAAGCTTGCTATGTGCGCTATGTCTAACCCCGCCCAGCTTGCCTGAGGTCCTTTCGTGCCTCCAGCGGCTGCGAGTACCCCGCCGCGTCTCGGCGACTGCGGGGTGCGAGCTCAGTTCCTTTGCCTTGGCGCAGATCGAGGATCGAGATCGGATCACAATCCTGGGCAAGGAACTGGAAAACTTGCTTGGGGCAAGTACGAGCCTGCCCGCTCTCGCGCTCGACTTCTGTCTTTGGGTATGCAATGCAGGGTAACCGGGTACTACAAATTTTCTTGCGTTGCGCTGCGTCAAGTGTCACGCGGTCTTATGACATCGCAGACACGAGCAGCTCGAATGTCAGGAAAGTTGCCATATTTGTCTGCATTCTCGTCAGCCACTGATGCACTTTGCTCGGAGTGAAGCTTCAGCATCCTGCAGCCCCATACGGCAAGAGAAAGCGGGTACGCGAGTTGGTCTCGCTAGCTCGCACGTGGTCGCTGGTCGCAGGTTAAACATGAAGCTGGGCCTCCAGGTCTGGACTTACAGGGATTGCGCTGTATTTCATCATAAAGAGTTTGGGTTAGCATCGTCCTCATAACCATTCAATGTGATAGCTTCTAACCGACACGTCAGGTGAAACCATGCGACGGGCACTCAAGAGTGACTGCAGGGTCGCGATATTGGGGTTGTCCAGCTTGATTTCCTCATTGGTTCTGAGAAGTCCACGCCGCCCTCGCCCTTGGAGACAGGAGAGCGAGCATGCTCGCGCCGATTCAGTAGTCTTGTGGCTCGGCACAAGCTTCCGTCTGCTCGACGCACCCAGGCGATCCCATATCGCCCCAGACATTACCCTCTCCGGAGCCCTGCATGAACCCTTCCGTAGTGCAGGCACGCCCACAGAAGGACGCCGCTACCCCCTTTGCATGGTTGGTAGCCGACCCGAAACCGTGAAGGTGCGAGGAACCATATGAAGCGAATGCGTCTGGCTCCCTAGATACGCCGGGTATGTATCGAGGTCCTCGTGGTCGAGGGAGACATGTGGTGACTAACCCCCCGCATATCACCGCGAGTTGAGAACATCCTTAATAATGATCTCCTCGAAGTTCATCCCCCAGATCAAATGAGCAAACGGCGTGTCCCCCCATCTCGCACGACCTCCCAAGGCATGAGGGACTCATTCCCCGACCCAGATCGCGGTCCACTGCTGAGTAACACGCCACCTCTTCTTCGCTCTTTTCAATCTCAACTCACCGGACAATTGTGGGCCACAATCCAACGAACATGACCCTCCAGCCTTCTTTACGAACACTTGTGACCGCCGTCTGCCAGAGACCCAACTTGACTTTGCTGGCCTCGTCACCCCAGGCGGATGAGCTTTGCATGCGAGTTTTGAAGACGTCGAAAGGGAATGTCGCCTGGCGTTAGCGGACCGTCTTTCATGCATCGCCGCAGCCATTACTCACAACCCAGGCAACTACGCCAGCCACTCCTCCAGCCGTCATGAGCTCGGCCCAGTTCAGGCCCGAGTTGAGCTCGGCCTCGCCTTCGCTGATAAGGTCGTGCTTGTGATCGTGATATTCCAGCGGATGTCCGGACTTCGCACGGCGCCACTTGAAGTATCGACACACCGCCTCATACCTGCTGTCAGTTCCAGCATCGCGGGGTGCACTCCTCACGAGCAGAAGTACGGTCCGTAAGCGGATTCTCGGATTAGAGTCGCTGTGTAGCCCCTGTAAAGGCCACGAAGGCCACCAGTCTTCAAGATATCCCACGCAACGGCGTACGTCGAGGGATTCATGTGCGGAGGCATGGACTGTTGGCGGATCTGGGGGGTCAGCGTTCCGGTTCTCCTCATCCTCGATGGATAACGAGCAGTCTGCACCGTCTGCGGAAACCATCCGCCTACGCAGGTCCAAGACGCCAACCGCAATCTCTTAGATCTACGCACCTTAATGAGCTCGATCGGGCACGTCAGAGTAGCTCCCACAAAACCGCTTCCCATTCCGGCGAGGTTGATTTGCCATAGCGTCGGGTCCTGGCCGGGAGGCGTAGGCATCATACTCATGAAGGATGTGTATGAGGAGAAGATAACTCCGTTCACGAAGGCTATACCCAGCTGGCTGTCAGCAGATGGCCCTCCGCGGAAGACGCACCATAGGGCTCATAACACCCTTGAACAGGCCGGGAATCTGCGGTTAGCTGGCCGCCTAATCCAGAGAAACCATCTGGCAAAGACCGTAGGTTCGACCGCACCTTCTCCTCCTTCAGAATGGAGGCTGCTTGTCAGCGCGAAGATTCGGACCAAGCCTCACTCAGTGCCCCCGTTATTGACCGATATCTTCCATTGTACTGAGGTGTTTGGTAGCGAACCTTGACCACGTCAAATGGTTGTCCAACGAGGAGACCGACGGCGCCTAGAGTGGTTAGTTCTTCCCACAGCTGTGCAACTCATCGGCGCTCGCTCACCTGCAATCGTTCCAGCAGTGAAGTCAACGAGGGGGGAAATCTCTCTGCCTGCTGGTCAGCGTAGCTAGCATACACAGGCTCACCCTTGTCCTCGTCACCCATAGTGTTATTCCAGCCCTCTTATGACGAAGCAGAAGATGGCCAGGATAGTAGACGGACGGAGGTCGCGTGAGAGTGGAGGTGCGGTGCGCTTCGTGGAGGTCGGCGGAAGGGCAAGTGTAACAGCAGACGACGGACCACCTATTAGGGGCAGCAAGCAGTTGACAAACTGAACAAACGGGGCACAAGGAGGCGGTCAGCCGAAGGCACAGATAAGAGGGGCGGTAGTATGGCCGAAAGAGGGAGAGGAGGCAACAAATCTGTCGAGGGTCGGCAGCACGGTGGTGTCAACATCCTTCTTCCAGGTGGCCTATCTACCCCGCATTACCCCGCACTCCCCCCAGCGTCATCGTTCCGTTGATCCGTGGATTTCCTTCTCCGTCCCACTCAACAACATCCTCAAACGTCACTCCCAGTGACATCCACGACCGCGTTGAGTGGAATCCCCCAGTACGATTCGGTGACGCCGCTGGCCTGAAGCCGAACGCGCAGTAGTACGAGTTCCGCCCGCGCACAACACTCCTTTTGGTTGCCGGCCACCGTTCGACTCTTGATCTGCTCGGCTCCTCTAACGGTCCGCAAGCTGCTGTCCCAGCGCCTAACATGAATCTCGACGAGGAGGCGAAGCTCTACACGACGAATCAGGAGCGCGAGCAGGTCGAGAATCTCGCCACGCTCTACTCCATAATCGTTTCTCTCGATTACCTGGAACGAGCCTATGTCAGGGATTCGGTGACGTCGAAAGATTATGCGCCGGCTTGCACGAGGTTGTTGGCTCAGTACAAGAGCCTGATGAAACTCGTCGGAGAAGACATTGGTGGAGTGGAGGCATTCATGAAGCGATACAGGGTGCGTGCTCGTTCGATGGAAAGTAGCTTCACCTCGTTCTGTTCGACTGACGATGAGATGGAGTTGCCAGCAGCACTGCATCGGTTGCAGGTCGGTGTGCCTGCAACAATAGAGCATGCCAGTGACACAACGGAAGGAGCTGATAGCGCCAAATACGTGGCTGAGGCGACACAGGTGAGCTCAGGACGCGCCTCCTAGCTGATGTCCAGGCTTTCATTACATTCATGGACGCACTCAAACTCAACCTTCGCGCCAAAGACCAGCTGCACCCATTGCTTACAGAGGTGATGGCGGGCTACGCAAAGTTCAAGGATTCGGCCCAATGGGAGGGAAGAGCCAAGATTATTCACTGGCTCATCACGCTCAACGCCATGAAAGCCGCGGACGAGATCACGGAGGACCAGTCAAGGCAGATGCTGTTCGACATTGAGAACGCTTATAACGAGTTCTTCAGGTCGCTGAGCGGGAAGTAGTCGGAAGCGCATAGTTGTGGCAGACAGAAGTATTCGTAACGATACAATGACATCTCAAATATACAACAGGACAAATGACTGGGTGGTAATATCGTTACAGTGACAAGTTGCGGCGAGTATTAACAGTACAAGAGACAAATTCCCCCTTCTTCAAAGAACGGCATAGAGCAGACCTAGTCTTGGATCTGCTGGGAGATGCCGAGGGCGTTGGCGACCTGGTCGATGTAGCTGTCCGCTCGCTGACGAAGCGCCTTATACGCCTCCAGGACCTTGCGGATTTCTGCCTGGTTCTTCGCGATATACTCCTTCATCTCGTTTCGCAGCTGCTTCTCCTCGTTCTGCAGCTCGACGAGCTGCCCTTCCAACGATGCGCGCTCCTTATCCTTCTGGTTGTACTCAGCGGTCAGCTCGGCAATGCGGGCCTTGCTGCTCTGGTGGTACTCCTTAATTCTCTCACGCTGACGGGTCAACTTCTCATCCGCGAACGAGATCTGCCGCTCAAGGTGGTCATTGCGCTCCTTCAGGCGCTCGCCCTCGGCCTTCGCCTGGTCGACAGCCGACTGGAGCCTCTCCTTCTCACGGCGAAGCTGCTCGGTTGTCTCCTGCTGGGATGCGATCATCTTGCCGAGAGTGATCAGGCGCTTCAGTTCGGTCTCCAGGCTCTGAAGGACTTCCAACCTCTTCGTGTGTTCGTGGAGCTTCTCCGTAGTACGGCTCAGCTCCTCCTTCTGCGAAGCGACTTGAGAGCCCATTTCAGAGATGTTCTTGCGCATGCGATCGGGAGATCGAACGAGACGGCTCTTGGCCTCCTTGGTGCGGGCATCGATGCTCTCGAGCAAGGCTGCGCGCTCTTTCTGCGATGTCAGCAGCGATCCAATGATGATTGATGACTTACGCCTTCCTTGCTCAATGCCTGTCGGTCCTGCTTCATTTTCTCATATTCTCCAGACAGTTGACGTTGTTCCTCGGACAGACCACGCAGCTCATTGCGCACCTCCTCGTTGCGCTTCCTCGCGCTCTCGACCTTGGGCTGGTCTTCCTCCTGCGTAGCCTTGCAGTCTTCAATGGCAACGTCAAGCTTGTCGATCTTCCTCTGCAGATGGATAACGCGCTCTTTGTCTGAGTCAAGCTGCGCCTGAAGCTTGTCCGCGAGACCAAGGTTCTCCTCCCGGAACTTCGCATAGTTCAGAACTCCACTGAGAGCTGTGCGCAGGCGCAGGGCATCGGGCCTGGTAAGGTCGGGAAGGGTGAGCGGCACCCCACAGCGATCGGCGAGATTCTGGCAAAGCCTGAGGAACATGATAATGCCCAGGCCACCGTTATAGAGCTCCTAAGCACCGTCAGCCACGTTATCATTTCGCAAAGCTCACCCTATACTCCATCTTGCTGATGATTGCGCTTTTGGAGTCCTCGATCTGTGGCTGGGTGACACCGCACAAAACTTCGAGGAGACCCGCCCAGATGGCTTGGGTGGAAGCCGCCGTGGGGCGCGTGATGTCGTCCATCTGACAGTTGATGCCGAGAAGACCAAGGCAGCTGAAGATCTCATGCGGGCTCATCATTGGGAATCCCAGCTTGCGCCCATTGTTGCCGGTTGCGCTGGCAGGGCCGTTGCCTTTACGCACAGGCTGAGACATGACGAGCTCAAATAATCTTGTGTTCTGTCGTACTTGTAAGCTGCTGGATAAAGGCCGTTGTGATGGTGTTGTTGAGGTGGCAACTTCACAGGGGATATGTTGACGCGACTTGGGTGAGCTGCTGGAACAGCTTGTTTACGCTAAAATGTATTACGTAAACGCTCCCCACTGTAGCCAGTTGTTTTGAGACGGGGAAGGGTCGGCATTAGTCGCGGAATCTAAATTCCTAGACTCAACGTAAAGTAAGGCGCGTGTTGACATACGGATGTAAACAATCAGTTCACGATCTCAGATAACTGCTCCGTGTCAACAACAACCACCGACACTGCCAGCAACCACCATGGCGCCTCGTCGCCCCTCGATATCGTTCTTGAAGGACTCACTGCCAACGCTTGTCCCGCCCATATTCGATCAAGCGCAGGGAAGCATTGCAAACCATAGGAAGAACGCCGGCAACCTCCGAAAGATTCAAGAGCAATGCGCCAGCATCACGGAGGAGACGGACAAAGGCACCAGACTTATCGGCGAACGAGCCTTCAATTCGCTCTTCGTTGACATGGTCAATCGCGTCCTTCCTATCAAGAAAGGTGTGACTGTCGCTGATCGCATTGTCAAGTTTGTCTCAACCTTTGTCGAACTCACGACTGCCCAAGGTAAGCGAAACGGTCCTCTGGGAGGCTGACCTCACTCAGATGCCGAGGAAGAAGACGGAGACTCAATGTCTTCCCGATTCGTATCAAAGCTCCTGCGCCATCTTCTTGCGGGTATGGAGGCCAAGGACAAGAACGTGCGATTCCGTGTCACGTTGATGACCGCATCCCTGATCAATGGTCTCGGCGAGATTGAGTGGGTAGTCCCCAACGGCGCCGCTAACACCCAGCGACGAGCTGTTCGTGATGCTTCGAGAGTGCCTTCTTGAGCGTTCCCGGGACAAGGAATCCGCCGTGCGCGTGCAGGCGGCCCTAGGACTTGCGAAGCTGCAATCAGCGGATGATGAAGGAGATGATGATGAGGAATCAATCGCGCAAGTTCTACTTGACTTACTTCGCTACGACCCTGCCGCGTGAGTGAGCAAGCTTCTTCCAGGCTAACAGTACAGCGAGGTTCGTCGCGCTGCCCTTTATAATCTCCCACGCACCCAGGAGACGCTGCCGTTGATTCTCGCTCGCACGCGTGACATCGACCCAATTCTTCGCCGGACCGTGTACCAAGGCAGCTTGAGCTCTGCGTCTCTACCCAACGCGCGCTTTCTGTCAATTGAGCAGCGCGAGCAGGTTGTTCGCCACGGTCTGGGTGACCGTGAGCCGGCCGTGCGCAAGGCGACGGCTGTCATGTTGGGAGGCTGGCTGGATCAGGAGGACGTTGCCGGCGACCTCATCAGGTTCCTGGGCTTTTTCGATGTGGTCTCCAGTGAAGTGGCGGAGGAGGCGCTGCTCTCGATTTTCGTGACCCGCCCCGACACTCTGGAAGTCGAGTTCCCGGAAGAATACTGGCAAGAGCTCTCTCCCGAGAAGGCCTTCCTCGCCCGAGTGTTCGCAGAGCATTGCATGTCCTCGAAGGACGAGACTCGACTTGAAGACGCCATGCCCGTCGTGACCGCCCTTGCGTTCAAGACTCAAGACGAGTACAACCGCCTCGTTACACTTATTAACGACAACGACGACGAGGAAGAAGACGCGGCGGCGCAAGAGGCGGCCTTCATTGTCGGCGAGCTGCTCCGTCTCGCAATCAATATGGATTACGCAGACGAGATTGGGCGTCGTAAGATGTTTCAGCTATCCCGAGAGATGATCTCCCAACCCAATCTGCCCGAGCCGCTCATCCCTCGTTGTATGGATGTTCTCAGCAAGATCTCCACGGGCGAGAGGGATTTGATCCGCCTCATCGTCGATGTGGTGACCGAGCTGCGGGAAGGTGACGGCGACGTTGAGATTTCTGAGGCCAGCCGGTCAGTTACCGCGACACCGATCCGTCCAGCTCGTTCTCAGCCCGACGATCCTGAAGCCATCATGCGTGCCGCTATCATTGACATGCGGTGTCTTCTGATTTGCACCTCGCTGCTCGAGCGTGTGAACACCCCACTCCAGGAAAACTCCGTCTTCCACGGGCTCCTCCCGGATCTCATCGTCCCCGCAGTCCGAAACACGCATGAACCCGCGCTGCGCGACCAGGGCCTGGTGTGTCTCGGCCTCTGCTGTCTCATCGACGAGAAGATGGCGATCAACTCGTTCGGTCTGTTCATCCAACAGCTGAATGCTGCTGATGATGAGCTCAAAGTAAAGGTGGTTCAAGTTATTTTCGACCTGCTTATGGTACACGACATAGGCACTCTTGTTGCGCGGACAGTACCGGCGGATCGCGTACTGGAACTCGTTCGCCATATGCTCGCGCAGGATGCCCCCGAAGTGCAGGCAGTTGCGTGCGAAGGCGTTACCAAGCTGATGCTCGCGGGTATGATTGAGGATGAGACTACCCTTCAATCGCTCGTGCTGCTGTATTTTTCCCCCGAAACCGCCGACAACCAGCCGCTCCGCCAATGTCTCACGTACTTCCTTCCTGTCTATTGTTACTCGTCTGTCGCTAATCAGTGCCGGATGCTGAATGTAAGTGTTCGGCCCAACACGGGGTTCTGACCCTCAGATCTTCTCCGACACCTTCACCATGCTGGCACAGCTCGGCGAGGAGTTCGAACACGCAGCTGATCTGCTACCTCTGAGCCAGATGGGGCTCATGATGGTAGACTGGCTCGATCCTGAGAAGGCAGTGTGAGTCTGTCCGCCGAAGAACGCTCGCTGACATGGAGTGAAAGCGAAACGAACGTTGACCACAACATCCATTTGGCGCTAGCCATCGAATTGGTCAAGACGCTCCTCAGCGAGACATCTCGTAAGCCGCCTGTTGCTCTGCATCAATCGCGCTAACCTAAGACGATGTGCGCAAGACGCTGGCTGGCTTCCTGTCGAAACTTAGTCTTCCTGACTCGGGGCAGGCCGATACATGGAAGACGAAGGCTCTCTTTCAGCTCATCGCAAGTCTCAAAGAGAAGCGGCCTATGTCTGATGCAGCCTCACGTAACGCGATCACACGGTTCGAAGCCTCTTTGATCAAGCGCTACCCTGAGTTGGAAGGTTATGATGAAGACGCCTTCCGCGGAGAAGGAAAAGTGCACGAGGGGACGAGCGAGCTGTTCGGGTTCATCGATGATGTGTAGGTGCCAACATAAGGTCCCCGAAACGCAGCTAACAGATCAAGTGAAGAGGATGCTGCAACGCCCGAACGCACCCGGAGGTCGAGCCGTGCGACATCACGAGCACGATCAATGTCAGTCCAGACCTCTGACTCAGACGCGACACCTGTCAAGCCGCGGCCCAAGAGGAAGCCGGAGCCAATTCAGGAGGAATCCTCTGTGGAGGAGGAAGAGGACGATGATGACGTTGAGGGCCTATTGGATAGCGAGTAGTCTTTCGAATCCGCTTGTACCTGTATGAAATCGCTTGTGTCATTATGTTATCAAGGTGTGAGAAAGTGACAGGTAAGCTCGCTGCATGCGTCGTTGACCGAGCGCCGAGGCTGCGGCCTGCATAAATAGCAGTGCCGATGTTGTGATTTAGCCCCCCCTCTTCCCTCTTGGCCCTCCTCAGACTAAGCCCTGAGCCGCCGCCCACCGTGTGCGCCGTTTGCGTGTACGGCTCCGACTTTTGAAGCGCAGCGCAAGACGTATTTGACTCCGTTGTTGCGGGGGGGTGGCTTGACTGTTATTGCCACCTGCGTCACCCGTGACCTCGCCAGACCGCCTGGCCGCCAGGCAGGCCTCCACTGCCTCCACCCACCGTACCACCCATCCGTCTACCAGTCTCCGCACTCCTTCCACATCATGCTCGACTTACCATCACCCCAAGCAAACCATCCAGCAAATCACGACGAGGTAGTTCGTTCGCCGGGTCTGACGAGCCTGTACTCCCTTCACCCCTTGCATGGCAGTATGGCCGCTCCACTTTCCCCCGGAGGGGTTGTCACCGAAACCACGCCCCTGATTGCTTCGACCTACTCAACGGTTGGGGAGTATCTGGAAACCAGGGCCCAACACATGCTCCAACAGGCTGCGCGGAACGAACTCCAGCTGGATGACCCGGAGGACGTCGACTTGACGCATGAGTTCGCCTCGGCGCTTTACGCTCTCCACATTGTTGAACGACACGATCGGGCGCGCGGTTCAGCCAGAGCCGCGGCATACAGGGCCAGCGAAACCGCCCGCGTCAGGACCGATCTCAAGGATTACGCCGTCTGCTGCCTCAACATGGCGATGGCATACATGGGTACTGGCGACGAGGACAAGGACGACAATGATGACGACGTACTGGTCGTCACGAGGCCTTTGGCGCTTAAGCCGGGCAAGGCTACGAATGGTGAGTTCAAGCTGGGCAAAAGGAGCAACAGACCCTGGTTGTTTGCGCCTCCGCGCCATTCCGGGTCAGACGCCATCGTCTCATCGGGGCTCGACGCCCGTGGCAGCGCCGCCGAAGAAGCCCGTCTCTCCATGTGCTCGTCTCAGACGCTGATGTACATGCAGTGGCTGCCTTGCTGTCTCATCACACAACCCCGGGAGCAGTCATCGAACACCCGCTCGTGCGTGCTTTACTTCCTCGAGCATGGAGCCGCTCTCGCCGCTCTCGGCAAACGCCAGGGCGAGGCTTGCGGTCAATCCTGGACAGCGCAGTGACACCTGCGTAAGTATCCCCCGCTGCTTCGCATTGACAAACACCAGGCGCGCCCACTTCATCGAGCTCCTCGGTCAGCTGGTCTTCATTGCTCTGACTTTCGCCACGGCCTTGATACCTGACACGGCCATCGGACCCGACCATTCACTGCCAGTGACAATTGTCTGGTGTGTGTGGGCGTGGTGCAGCTTCCTGGGAGTGAGTTGAGCTAAATCGTTAAAATAGCATTCTAATCATCAGTCGATTGTCGATGCCTTTGCCAGACGACGCGGTCCATCATCGACGGCACACCTGCTGCTGATGCTCCCTGCTCAGCTCAGTGGCATCTTCATCTTCATTTGGCGCGATTTCGCCGTTTTCCTTCGCCTGCTTGCGATCCCGATGTCGACGCTTGCCATTGTGCTTCCCAGCTGCCCGAGCCTGCCATTTTTGACGCCCCAGAAGCTTCTCCCTTTGTCGACTCTCCTGGGGGGAATTCTCGCCCGAGGAGCGAAGGCAACCGCGCTGTTGGTTCCGCTGTCGCTCGGTCTATGGGCAATCTACGCATTTTCGCTGAACGGGAAGGTCTGGGCCGTCATTGAGAGCTCTGGCGACGTCGACATCACGGGTAACGGTGATCCGATCGATGTCGGTCGTGCGCCGTTTGAGACTCGTGTCGCTCTCCTGATCACGTTGATTCTGGTGATCGTTCTCAGCGCTTGCCTCTCGATCATCCGTGCGATGGCACCAGGCAACGACACGCACGATGGAACGTGGGAGGCAGAGTACGGTGAAGGCATCGCGCACACTGCGCGACGAGCATTGGCAGCTGGTGTCGCTCGTTACCTCCCGGCCAGTGTGGACGCCGCGCCGGCAGCCGTTCCTTTGCCTGTGCCCCTCAACGTCCTCATGCTTCCGTACGACTTCCTGAATGGAGCTTGGCGGGTCGTCACGCTCGGCAGGGGTCACCCTCCCTTCGCCCTCCGCCGTGCGCGGGGATGGATCAGCTTGGGCATTGTTGCCGCCATGTGCTTGATCATCACCCCTGTCGCCGTCTTGATGCCCAAGTGGTGAGATGTTGTAGTCGAAGTCATGGCCTCGGGCTCTGTTGAACCTTCGCGTGTATTCCCTAACGTTACTAGACCCTCTTTCAGACAACTAGCTGCTCACACGTATAATATGCTAAGAGACGATGCCTGAACATTTGCATGGAAAACTGCTGACTTGTAACTTATCTTAATTCGGGCGGAGCGTGAACTCTTCTCCGTCATTAATTGGCTTGCCCTCCTTCACCTTCGCAACATTGTTGCGCAGGTCCATGATGATACTGAAGATGGTCTCACTTCCAGCAGCGCCATCGCGGCAGATAGACCCAGGGAACCCCTCCGTGTCCTTAAGCCAAGTCCACACAGTGTCAAGGACATTCTCATCATCCTTCAACCCGCCCAGACTCTGCGTGACAAGCTTGGAGATCCGGGCTAAGCGCGCCGGCGAGCCGGGCATCTGGTTCGTACCGAGCCTGACACCAGGATGCTCTTCGATGTAGTGGTTCGAGTGGACGATGGCGTCCCACTCACCCACATCGATGTGGCGCACGCGGGCGGTATCAATATATGACGTCTCGAGACCAATCGCCTGCGAGCCGTCCGAGATGATGATATGGCCGGCGGAGGCGACGCCGAGCTTCTCCAGGCGCGAGGCGAGGAGCTCGGCCGTACCAGGGGGAGCGAGGAGCTTGGATCCGCCGTTGGCGTGTCCATTTGTCTTCCCTTTTGCGTCGCCGTTGGCATGGCCGTTCGTCGTTCCGTTCGCGTACCCGTGCACACTTCCGTTTGCATGTCCGTCCGCTGTCCCGGCGTGCTTCACAGCCTCCTCGCCCGCCCAGTCGAGGACCTTCCTGAGCGCGATGTGGACCGGAATGCGGGTGGAGTCGACGCCGAGCGCCGCGATAGCATTGAGAGTCGTGCCGACGCCGGCCGAGAGCCCGATCTTACCGATGATACCTGCCTCCGTTACAATGGAGAGATCCGGTCTGCCCTCACGGCGGATCGTCATCTGGACGATGTTTCCCTTCTGCGCTCCCTTCCAGTCCCAGTTCTGGGACAGGATGCCGTTCCGCGGTCCATGAATGGCAAACGCGGTGCAGCCATCGGTATAGAGACCGAACGCCACTTCGGTACGCACGTTCAATGCAAGAATCGTCTCCTTCGAGAGCTCGGAGCCTGCCGCCAGACCCTCAAGCTCCTCCAGAATTTCCGGGTAAGACTCGCGCAGCAGCGGAAGCCACTCGGCAGCCTTCGTCTCGACCGCGTCCCACGGCAGCTTGGCGGTCTCGCGGAAAAAGGCCTGATAGAAAGCCAAGGTACCGTGCACCCGTGACTTGGCCTGCGTGCCGTGCTGATACCCGATCTATCGTCAGCATCTAAAGCAGGAGGAGGCATACCTCGTAGGGCGTTCCCGAACACTCAATTCGCAGCATCGTTTGTTATTGTTGGACTGAGCAAGCAGCAGTTGCTCGTCGCGGTCCGTTCTTATATTGATATGTGCCCACTTCCGGACGTCGCATAACCCGCGGTTCGGAGGCTCGGACTTGGCCGATGTAGTGCAGATCCAACTAAGTTTAGACCCCAAGGAAAGAGACAACGAAGGTGTGTTGAACGTCGTGCTTAGCCTTCAGTGGAAACGAAAGCAGTCGCTGAGGTGGCATTAGCGTCTCATAACCGTCATCGCTTGAGCTCTCCTCATCATCGTTGAGCATGACGCATCCTGCACCTATATCGTACATCACACATTCGATCAAGCTCGCCGGGAGTCACGTGTCTCGGAACGACGCTGCCGGCCACGCGAAACAAATCAGCGCCACCGACCATAATGCCGATCGGTATTAGCCACGTGCAACGTTTGGGACACCCAAACTTGTCCAAACTCTTACAACGAGCATTGCCAGCCAAAATTTGGTCCCGTTATGCAGCAGGCAGGCTCACTTGGGTAGGCGGAAACTGAGACGTCTTCTTCATCCTTCAACGTCTACGCAAAAACCCACCAGGGACCAACAACCACCATGGAGATCGAGAAGTACTACCGCAAGCAGCGCATCTTCAACGCCCAGAAGGCCAAGGGTGAGTCTTTACTCGCCGTCCGACCGACACAAAACGACCCTCAGCGACTTTGAAACGACTTTCGAGAGAGGGAGGGAAGATTTGTGCTCGGTCTTTGGACGACGAATTTGTGATCGCGAGGAAGGCTTGATGCTGACGCTATACTTCTTTCTCGACCGCCCGCGACGATCTCGATCTTGTGCTTTTGTTGCTTTTGGATATGCGTTCTCTCACGCTCTGTCTACGATGTTTCGATGGCTTGCAAATCTATCGTTGGATATTGGACTTGGAATCGATCTTGAACTCAATCTTCGGCCTCGACTCGTCTGTGTATCGGAACCTGTGATGGCCCGCTTGCTTTCTCTGTCGGTGTCTGTGGTTACCGCGATCAGGCGGCAAGGTTGCCCCCAAGACCAAGCGCTGGTACAAGGACGTCGGTCTCGGCTTCAAGACCCCCTCTGGTGAGTTCACCACGCCAGGCGCGCGCAAGTTTTCGAACGGAAAGCCACGGATGTTTGGAAAGGGGCATTGAAGCGGGATTGCAAAGGATTGCATGGTCGAATCGTGATTGAGAAACTGCCATCCGATCTCGATCCACCTTTCAAATCGGCACGCGACTGTGTTCCTATCGACATACTTTTCCTGGAAGCGAGATGCCCACGCTGGTGGTGTGACATGATTAGTTGAGCTAACCATTCGCAGAGGCCATCAACGGCACTTACATCGACAAGAAGTGCCCCTTCACCGGCGAGGTCTCGATCCGTGGCCGTATCCTCACTGGTGTCGTTCACTCCTCGGGCAAGATGACCAACACCATCATCCTCCGCCGCGAGTACCTCCACTTCATCCCCAAGTACCGCCGTTACGAGAAGCGCCACAAGAACCTCGCCGCCCACGTCTCCCCCGCGTTCCGTGTCGAGCAGGGTGACACCGTCACCGTCGGTCAGTGCCGTCCTCTCTCCAAGACTGTCCGTTTCAACGTCCTCCGTGTCGCCAAGAACAAGGCGGCCAAGGGCTTCAACAAGTTCTAAGTTAGCCGGCTTAGGGTACTTGGTGTAGGTTATGCATTGGCATCTTTGGCGTAGCAATCTAGAGCGATGGATATCTTGACTAATCGGCAGGAGGAAGGTGTCTGCGGAGCTGCGCTCGTTCGGTTCAGAATGCTCTGCCAGTACCGGTCAGCGCATTGCAGCTATCACAATCTCATCTTTCAAGCTGCACAAAGGGTCGCATATGACTACTAAAGGCCGTCACCATACACACGAGAGGAATCGCACTGGGTGTTTGGCGGAGGCTGAGTCCGGCTGGGTCAGACTGAGTTCAAACACCGCTACATCACATTACGCATCACCGACTGATCGCGCCCTATATGTACAGATAACTACAGGTATCTGAAGACACGTCTCTACTGCTTGCGCCCACAGCAGGATCCCAGCATCCCCCCACGGTGCAGCCCATGGAGCACAGTGGCGAGGACGCGGCACACCTCGCATTCCAACGCGCAATCATGCTCGGCGTGGTACTCGGGCTTCATGCCGCCTTGCTGTCCCTGCTGCAGTGCCATAAGCGCTGGCAGGAGGGAAGCGAGACCACCGCCGGCCAAAGCTGCCAGGGTGGGGCTGACGCCGACAGGTTTGAGCTCGGCGGGCTCGTCGGAAGACTTGTCGTGAGCGTGCGGCTCGATCGCTTCAGTTTGAGCTGCTGCCTCCCTGGTAGCGACGAGCTCGGTCATGGTCCCGCGGCCCGTGATCTGCTCCTCTTCAGTCTTCTTCAGGGTAGTTGCTTGGATGGCAGTGATGATGTTGCCAACTGCGTCGCTCTTCTGCTCCAGCTCGGTCTCCTTTGGCAGCTGCTCGGGCTGCTCAGGCAACTGAGCGAGGGGCTCTGTCCTCGGAGAGTCCTTCGTGGGCTCCTCCTTCTGGAGGCTCAGGTCGGCCTCAGTGCCGACTGTCGCCGAGGCAGACCCCGGTGCACGAGCTTCTTGCGAAGGAGACGGTGTCCTAGTCTTCAGGATGAGGCCAGAGTCAGACTTCAGACCGTCATGGCGGGGCGTCTCATCCTCTGGGCCCGCGTCCTCGACGCGGATTGCGTATCGCGAGCTGCTGGGATCAGGAGCGACCGGCGTTTTTTCCCGCTTGAGCGGCACATGGTTGGGGAACAGCTGCTCAAGGGACGCTCCCGCCTTGCTTCTGCGGCGGCGCATGGGCTGGAAACCATCTTCCTCCCTAGTCTCCTCCGGCCCCAGGCCATGGTCGAGGAATTTGTCGAAACCTGATGGGAGTTGGATCACTTCATATTCTGATCCCGTCTCCGAGGGACGGGGCGACGGGCGCATTGCGCCCTTCCCCTTGTCCTTGCCTGTGTGCGCGGGCTTGGTAGTTGGAGGAGTTGGGGGCGGAGTGGCGAGAGCCTCCTCATCGGGTGGTGACTCTGACAGGATGGCAAGCCTCTTCTGCGGGGGTCGTGTTCTCTCGCGTGTGGATCGCTTGCGCTTTCGAGGCTTCTCGCGCTCCTTGCCCTTCTCCAACTTGACGGCATCATCGTTTGAGCGCACGGAGATGATCTCGTCCACCTCGTCGGTCTTCGAGTCGAAAGGCGAATATTGTGGTAGCTGAAGATTCGCACCGCTTTCGGGCTCCGCATTGGCTGTGCTCCAAGTCGGAGCCGTGATGACCCCCTTGCCAGCCGAGGAGGGCGGGGTCGGAAGAGCATGGGCGGTGCTGGTGTTTAAACGTGGCGACGGCGTGCGCAGGTCGACAACCTCACCGGCGAAGCTTGAAGAATCAGGCTTGCCGTACGACGCCGTGCCGATCTTCTTCCACCGGCTGTCGTCAGCTGAAGAATGGCATTTTCATTCTCACCTGCGACGGCGCGAGCTCTTCGTGGCTTGGCCCCTGCCCGCTTCTGTCGCTTGCTTCCTCTGTTGCGGTCGAGGAGCAGGGGCTGTAGATGCGTTGACGGCTGACGGTCTCGGTGGTCGGCCGCGTTTGCGGGTGGGGATCCAACCATCTGCCGTGCATCAGCGTCAACCTCGTCTCTTTGGCTCACGTTGTTTGATCATGTGCGTTCGAAGCGTTGTCGTGCTCTTCAGAGTCTTGGGACACTCAGAGCAGAGCAGCCTCTCGGTCCGGGTTGTAGCCATGGCTGTGGATGGTGAAGGGAGACTGACTGATTAGTGAAAGTGAGAGAGAACAGAACGAATGAAGCGACAAGGAATCCCTTGTGAAGTCTACCGTGAGCCCGCTGGGAGCTTGCGCTCGCTGTCGCCCCTTTGTGAGGGCGAGCATCTGTGTGTTGTGTGCGGAGAGGGCGACGGTGTGTGGATCGAAGTGCGCGCACACGAAGTGACGCGCGTATGATGACACGAGACAAAACATCACACGATTGAGGACGAGGAAGACATCTTGATGAAGACATTAAGCCAAAAACAGAGATACGAAAGGAACACGGTAGCTGGCGAGATTGAGATCGCTATATCTTCAAGGAGGGTCCGAGTGGAGGTCATCGGCAGCAGCGGCCAAGTGCAGCCCAGGGCCGACAAGCATAGGTCTTGGAAGGAGGGATCAGCCCTCTACGTCATGTGATTTGGTCCTGACACTGCGTTTGTAATGGTCACGTGCGCCAAGATAAAGAGCGAATTGGCTTGAGCGCTTAATCCTAATGGACCTGGCCGGTTCCTTTGAAAGTTGTTATCCGCGGACCGCCGGTCCAGGGCCATGTCAGGCAGAATAAGGCAGACCCAGCAGGGATTCACGGTCACTGGATCAATGACTGGCTGTTGGGCTGGGCATCACGTCCCCCTCTGCCCTGTCATGGGTTGCAGCTATGACGCTGCTGCATCCGATGGGAAGGGTTGCAGTGGCCACCCATTCCCAGCAGCTGCGGCCAGGCGCTGCCTGCATACGAGCCGAACATTCGAAGCAGCCAGCCAGAGAGCGCCAGCAGCATAGTCCCATTCCTGAGCCGACCCAGTCAGGACTCTCACCCAGCAGCCAGTCGTCGTAGATTGCGTGCGATCTCACCCTCAACCCCCGGACTCCCCACCCCCCCGGCTCGCGGCTCAGGCGATTCAGGCGGCATGACCGCTCGCGGCCAGGCCACCTCCCATCCACCCAGCCAGTGTCCGTCCACTGTCCGGTCCCCCACCGTCGATGCATCGCTCTTCTCTCTTCCTCTCTCTCCTTCTTCCAGCCTCTTCAAGACTACTCAAGAGCAGCACACCCATCACACACAGAGCAAACACACGCTCCCCGCTTCCCCCACCACTTCACCCAACCTGCTAACAAGCGCGCACGACTACCTCGCGTTAACCGCCGCGATCGACCAACATGTCTACCACCACTGAGACCCAGAACAAGAACGGCCAGGACAACGCCGCCGTCGCTGCCGACTCTACCGCTAGCACTCAGCCCACCCCCGAGGTCGAGGGCTACAGGGTGAGTTCCAAGTACAATCAGCGTGTCCACATCACCATGCCTTCCCTCCTTGTCTCGCATCGCAGTGGCCAGCGGCGACTCAGTGCCGTGTTGTCAACATGCTTTCTTATCTTGAAATTTCCGTTCGAGCGTCTGTGCAGTCACATTGCCCTTGGCGCATAGGCCGAGTTCACGTTGGTCGGGGGTCTTCCCCATTGCCGCTTGGCGCAGAGTGAGATGTAAGGCAGGGGAACCGACCACATCTCAAACAGACCGCACTCCCACATAGCCGCGCCCTGTGCAGCGCCCACTGATACTTCCCAGGTCTACGTTGGAAACCTTGCCTTTGCTGCCACCGAGGCCGAGGTCCGCGAGCACTTCTCTAAGGTTGGGGGTGAGATGTGAGTCTATCGCCGCTTTGCCCTTTGCGTTTCTCTCTGACCACCAAGCCTCTCGGTGATCCTCCCCACCCGGTTCAAGAGCCGCCGCCCCGCCGGTTACGCCTTCGTCACGTTCAAGGACGAGGCTGACGCCAACAAGGCTGTTGAGACCCTCAACGAGACCGAGATCGGCGACCGCAAGATCCAGCTCCAGGTCGCCCGCTCGAAGGAGGAGAACGCTGAGCGCAAGGCCGAGATCCTGGCCAAGCGCAAGGAGGCAGCCGACGCCAAGCGCAAGGAGAACGCTGAGCGCAAGGCCGCGGCTAAGGCCGCCAAGGACGCTGAGAAGGCCCAGTCTAGCGCCCAGGCTGGCGGCGACACGACTGCCGTTGAGTCGGACAAGTCGACGTCCAAGGCCACCAAGTCCAAGAAGAAGAAGGCGACCAAGGTATGGTTCAACTCGGGGGTTCTGTGCACGAAGTCCGCATTGCGCCTCTGGCGCATGCGGCGTGCGCCTGCCGTCCGTAGCCCCACGTAGTCAGCTGATGATAACCAGACCAAGAACAGCGGACGCCGCCGGGGGCCTGACGACGACGACGACACCGCTGTCGAGGACGACAAGGACTCGTCCAAGGCAGTGTCCAAGAAGAAGACCCCCAAGGATGCCCGCATCGATGGGGGCGATGAGGACAAGGAGGCCAAGCCCAAGAAGGAGCCCAAGGAGCGCAAGCCCCGCCTTCAGCTGACTGGCGAGAACTCCAAGGTGAGAGACGGTGGACTGTGCGTGCCATTAACCATCGCAGAACACTGTCTTCGTTGCCAACCTTCCCTTCACCGTGGATGATGAGAAGCTTGCCGAGCTGTTTAGCAACCTCTCGATCAAGGTCAAGTCGGCTCACGTCATCAAGGGCATTCGTCGACTCCCCGGTCGCCGCCCTTTCCGCGGCTCGAAGGGTTTCGGTTTCGTCGAGCTCGAGGACCCCTCGCAGCAGGACGAGGCTGTCGAGAAGATCAACGGCTCTAACATCGGCGACCGCAAGGTCACTGCCAAGGTTGCGCAGGAGATGAAGCCTATTGAGGAGATCCAGGCCGAGCAGTGAGTCGATCATTTCTGTTTACTGTGTGGATGTATTTACTGACTGCGCAGGGACAAGAAGGACAAGGAGGAGGCTGCCAAGTCTGGCGGTGCTACGCCCACTCCCGCTGAGCCCGCTACGTCCAACGCTGCGGCCTCCCCTGCGCCCGCGACCGCCACGGCCGCTTGAGCATCTTCCTGGGCAGTGAATATTGTACGCAGCAGTTAGATCTGCTGATCCATCATTTGTATATAGTAAACCAGCATTTTCCTGTTCTCTCGGACGTTTGTGAGGGTCTCGCGAGTTTTGTACTACTGCGTTCCATTATCATGAGCATGCAGAGAGAATATACGAGTAAAGTGGTGATCGGTGGTGAAGTTATCGACAGCATTCGTCATAGGCCAGGTCCGACTCGCGTCATAGACGTCGACACGTCGCATCACAGCGTATTTGACTGTAGTAATGTCACGTGCTGTGGATCCAGTGGAGGGCCAGTATCTGGGGCGCCGACCGGCTGTGGTGTTGCCATCGCACAACCACAGACTTGAGGAAGGCACTTTGCGACAGCCTGCTCTTCTTTCGACACCATCGATTCTGAGACCATGTCGGCTCCGTCCCAATCGACCGACACCCCGGCGCTGTCGGCGCAGCAGCAGCAGCCCGCAGACGCCCCGCCAGTGTATGGCTCGCCTCCGTCGGACTTTGAGGCGCAGCAGCCGAAGAACATGGATGGCCAGCCCGAGGGCGGACCGCACGTCATGTCTGCGACGGACCAGAATGACGGAAACGACGCCGCTGCGGAGGCGCTGGTGCGCGAGTTCGAAGCGTACGACTTTGGCAACGACGCCGAGTTCCGGGTACGTTGAGAGGGTCGGGTACTTGAGCAGGTGGCAGGGCGGGGCGCCTTGGCGTCGCAGGGGTGGGGGGGATCTGGGGCCTCCACTACTCCGGTGCCGGTGTTGCACCACACCCCGTGTTGCAGCCGAGAGCGCGCCAACCACGCTCCCCGGCCAAGCTATGTGTTTCTCGCGAAGCTGACAAACAGAAAGGACTTCCGGCGATTTTGAAGCAAGCCAAAGGCAAGTCTGCGGACATTGACGCAATCATCGGCCGCGCGCAATGGTTCTACTTCGGCAAGTTGCGCGGCGTATCGGTCCCCTTCGAAGTGTATCGCAAGTACAGAAAGGGCGAGCTCGAGTCGCGCCCAATGGGCACGAACAAGAAGTTTGGATCTCTCATGTCGGGCGGCCAGGGAGCTCCCTCTGGCTCGCCTTCGTCTGGATCCGCGCCGACGCCTGGATCGCAGAGTGGACAGGGACCATCAGGCGCTGGGGCCATCGGCGCGGCTGCAGGCGGCGCGACACAGTCGCAGGCTCAAGCGGACCAGGCGGGCAGGAAGGGTTCGGTCAGCGTGCATGGCGAGGGCATCAGTGTCGTGTCGGCCGAGGATGATGTCGCGGTCACGCGCGCCGCGGTCGTGGTGGAGAGCTCTGGCGTCCAGGCTGCGGGGACGGCGGGCGAACCCAGTAACGACATGCCGTTCGACCAGGTCGTTCGCCTCATCCAGGAAGGTCGCGCGAACGAGGTCCCTCGCAAGGAGATCCCGGAGGGTCTGAACGACGAGCCGGCGAGTGAGAGCAAGATGGCACCAAGGAGGAAGCCCTGGGAGACTGCCTCAACTTCGTCTGTTCCCGCGGCATCCAACGACACCCCCAGCCAAACCGCCGGCTCAGCTCAACCTCAGGGAGAAGCCGCCCAGCAGCAGGCTCCGGCACAGTGAAGAATTAGTGAATACGTAGCAAACAGGAACTCTATAGAACTAGGCCGTAAGGCAAATGCCAAATGTACATCTAGCGACTCGTCGATGACTGGAAACTCGCAATCCTCCCTCAGAAGTTTAGCATCCGCAGGGGCACTCCATTCCCTCCTCGAGAAGGCCCTCGACGCGATCTGCCCGTTCAGCGACCTTGTCGATGGCGGCGCGGAGGATGGCTTTCTGGCCTGAGATAGTCAGCTCACATGCACGGTGTTGTTAGCTGCATGGGGTTCCCGAGTAAGGAAGGATTCTGAAACAACTCACCGTCGCGGTACACATTGCAATCGCGAACGACCTCGGGACGGCATCCCTCAGTCTCGACCTCTCCAATGGCCGCGAGCTTCCCCTCGAGCATGCTCCCCAGCATACCGAGCACCTCGGCCTCGAGCTCGAGCTCAGCCTCCTCGTGAGCATGTGCCGCGTGCTCATCCTCGTCCTCGTCATGGTCGTGCTCGTGCTCGCCCTCACCGCCGAGCAGAATGCGGACAACCTTAAGCAGCTCTCGCGGCAGCTCTCCATCCGTACCGACCACAAAACGCTGGGTCATGTCGAGCTTCTCTCGCTCAAGCTTCGCCAACACATCAGGAGGAGCAGCGCCGCCCAGCTTCAAACCCAGGGTGTCGTCGGGGTTTGGAGACAGGGTGAAGGCGTATCCGTGCAAAAGCTCCTCATTCGGTTTCGGGCCGTAGTTGTTGAGGATCTGGTCGGATGCGGAGATGGGAGAACCCGCGACGAAGTTGACCGATTCCACTTCGACAGGAGAGGAGCCCGACAGCCATGTGATCTTTGTCCCACGGGCGTCTTGGGTTAGCTAAGCATCGGGGGCACTGATAGCTTATGCCAGTCGAGCGGAAGGTCCGAACGAGGGTTGAGGATGGGAGCTGGGAAGTGGTGGGGACTCACGATTGAGCAGGTCCAGTCCGGGCGCCAGAACAGGCTCGGATTCGCGGAGACCTTTGGCCGCCTCGCCCGTCAGTAGCATGTTCGGGAATGAGCGCGAGGAGAGATACGTCCCAACTGCGAGGTATCTGTCCCTGTTGCTGTCAGCACCATCCCCTTGGATGCACTTACCAAGTCAAGCCCTTATCGAGCTCCTGCACACGCTTCGACTCCTCCTGCCACTGTCGTTTCCGCTCTTGCGACCCGGGAAGCAAATTCGTTCCCGTCAGCAGAGCCAGCTCCTTCTCGGTGTAGTACAAGGGAGTGATCGGCGGTGGGGGAAGGGAGTCGATATACGGTCCGTGAGCGAGCGCATCGCTGCTGTCAGCTACGCAAAGGCAACAGAAGCTGTGCTTTCCCTTCCTTCTAAAGCGGGTGGGCGTGCAATACATACTGCGTCTCCTTCTTGTCCGCATACACCCAGTGCAAGCCAACGTAAGCCGCGATCAGCATGCGCGCGGACCAGTCTTCAAAGCTCTGCTCCGGGTGGATCTCCTCCAGCGCACGCTTAGCCACCACTGAAGAAATGGCCAGGTCACATGGACACGAAATGAGAACGGCGTCGGCCTCGATTGGGGACGAAGCATAGAGACCGATTCCGCTGTCCTTCTCTGTATGTGTCAGTCGTCGGGCGGGATCTGAGAGAAAGGAGGAGGACATACCATCTCGTACCTCGGCCGAGGGGTGGACGTAGCCGCCTTTCTGCTGAAACCATGCCAGGAAGGAGTGCACGGCGTCCAGGGACATGATGGTGTAGTGGGAGGTATATGGCGGTACAGTCGAGTCATCTTGCGGACTTTTTGGAGGGTACAGATCCAAGGACAAGACGTGCTGATAACGCACGTGGCTGTGGGGCTCCAGTGTCGAAGTTGTCCCATGTCTGGAGATTTACCGAGGGCATAACTCGTACGGATGATCAAGTGAACCTCGAACGCCGAGGTGGCTCTAGGATAGGAAGATAGGTGAGCTCTTGCTTCTCGAACATATCGGGCAGAGCAGAATGCGTAGTGGGTCTTTTGCATCTTCAGCGCTGGGAGCGGTGGCTGATGACGGTAAACCCCACCCACGGATGCTAGCACAGATCCAAGCTACATTCCATTCCATCTTCTCTTTAACAAGAACCACCAATGGGCCAACTGGTGTTCTCCACTAACGTACTTTGCGGGTACTGATACAACGCAGGAAGAAACGGCAACATCGAGCTTGAGGCCTAGTCCTGGTTGAACCTAATCTGCTTCAAGATTGATGATCTAAGACCTCCATAACGATCTAATGATCTTAGTTGATGACACTAAAAGTACAATAGGATGACCAAGAGACGAGCTCGAACCACGACTATGATGCCAGGAAGCTTAGGGCCTCGTCCATGGCCTCGTCGACAGTCTGCTGAGACACAAGCGTGGGCAGCGGGCGCCGCTCGGCGCCGGAGCGGCGCCGTGACACCCCGAGCCGAGTTGAATCGCGAGGCGGTCGGCGAGTTCCGGGTCGAAGGGTGTGGGCAGGAGATTACTGGCGTCGTACATCTCTGGCTCAACATACTTCAGCATGTTCAGCAAGGCCTCCATCTCGGCCCCTTCTTGGGCAAGCTCCGACGGGGAGGCGACGAGGTCTTGCCGGGGTTGGGAGAAGTGGCTGTCTCCGTGGGGCCCCTTTGGCAACACGAGGGTAACGAACCAAGGCTGCAAGTCAGCTTGGGTCACGCGTATAGAGACTCAGAGTACTCACCGGTTATTTTGAACGCCGTCTGACAGTTCATGATATCGGCGACGAATCTGCTGTTCACCTGCGAATGGTCGTGGTGATTGATCGTGTCGCACGTCTGCAGTGCGATTTGCGCCTCCACCTCCACCGCGGTAGCAAGGGGGAACAGCAGAAACCGTTCTTGTAGGCACATCCAGAACGCTCGATACCCAGACTGGTACACGAAGCGGACAACTTCCCAAGGCACAATCACCTGGTACTGAACAACACGCACAGCAGGGGCAGCAAGAAGCTGCGTGTGCGAAGAAGCTGAAGCAGCAGTGGGCGTCGTCACGGGCACTTGGGAGACGGGGTAGGTGGACATCGTGAGAGAGCTTGAGGAGATGAAGTATGTGTGTGAAAGGAGTGGGAGCAGAATGTGGGAGACGTCGGGGCCGTTGTTGTTGACTTTGACGCCGTAAATCTCTCTCTTGTATGCGCACTCCTAACATGGCGGGGCCGTCAACATCGGTTCTGAGGCTCTGCCCCCCACTATCATGCCCCTGCCGTGCACCGCTCTCCGCTTGCTCTCTCGATGTGCTCTCGTCCTTCCCCCGTAGCAATGCAGTCAGGTCTGGAGGCCGATAAAAGCTACACCGCACACCTGAACCTCCGTTTCTGGTGATGCACGCTCGCGTGGACAGAAAGCTTCCTAAGGTGTATCGTAGTGCGACGCTAGAACGAAACGGACCTGCTCCCCGGTTCGGACAATACCTCTGGACTACTTTGGACCAGAGCAACCCTGCTTCAATTGTAGAAACGATCTCCGCATGGTGGTTAGCCTGCGAATATTGCCCCTCGCACGAGCACGGTGGCTCATGTTCAGGCCCAAGATTCAACAGCCACATTACCTTGAGGGGTACTATTTCCCAGCTTATCAGGAAGACAGAGCCGCGATTGTGGGTCTGCAGGCCATCTAACCGCATGGCAGTGCGCAGACGCACTGAGCTGAAGTTCTGCCCGGCCGGCAGTAGAAAATTAAGGAAGAAGCCGGGAGATCCGGTCATCTCGAAGCAGGAACGCACTCAGCCGAGAACTTTTAGGCCACACAGAGTCCAGATTGTCATTCTCAAATGTCTGTGAGTTGCAAGAGTACACGCACAGGAACGGAAAGCCACACGTTTTGCCACTTGGCGAACTGAGAAGAGGGAACTCAACAGTGCAGTACAAGTTGTTCACCCAAGCGGCGATGATGGGCGCCTGCAAATCGCTGCAGACACAGATAGCAATTAGTGCGGCTATCCACACTCAGAGGAGCATTGCTTGCCTTCTACGGAAAAGGAGCAAGGCTGCCTCCTAGCCGACAGCGGAGTTCACGAGGGCGGGCAGATATCGGGCGATTCGAGAGTGGGTCGCATGACGGCTCGTTTTGGCCTGTGAGCGAGGCAGCGCAAGAGTCGGAGCTCTGCTGAGAAGTTTCGGAGACCGAAATTTGGCCTTGCTGGCTCAACATGCTTTGATCCAGGAACGTTGGCGGCTCTTATGACTATGCTAAGGTGGTGGCGCAAGTGGCACGTCGCTTGCCTTAATCCGGTGCAACCGTTTAAGCCACATCAGATGCCCTTGAAGTGTTCCGGACTACTAATCACGGGAAGTGCTAGCTCCTTTTCGGCTTCTGCTCCTGCAAAGTGGGTCTAAGGTTATTCTGCGCGATCAGCGTATCCGCCACTCGAGGGACTATTTCATCATGACGTTGGCGCTATGCGTTCTTATCAAACAGATGCTCGTTCTTTCTTCCAGAGGAGAGCACTGATCATAGCTGATAGTATCGATGACACGACTGATACGGTGTGTCATCGATGCATGAACGATCGCGGGTGGTCCTCGCTTCCTGAGACAGAGGTGACGTTTATCAGTCTTTGATACATTGGATTCAAAGTACGCTGATCTCTGTACAGGAATCACTCGAGCACTCCCTCGTCGTTACCTTCTGTCCACAACACGCAAACTCCTCTTATCCTGTTCGTACTGCGTCCCCAATCGCCTGCATGGAGATCTGTACTTCTGCTACAATCGCCTTCTCTCGTGTTTTCTGCCCTTACGCTACCACCGTGATTTACAACTCGACATACCACAAGCAGTCACCGTCCTGATCGCACGTACTCGACGTCGTAATGGATCATATGCGCTTATTTAGTTGGAACTTCTGCATCCGCCACGAGCATCGGGCAACCCCGACTGTACGATTGCGGCAGTGCGGGGCAGTTCGGGCCGACATTGCACCGAACCGTTGCCGCGCTATGCCGGGGTAAGCGGCCTCCACCACAGCCTCCACCGGTAAGTCGGTACACCGATGCCCACCATCGCCCAGCTCCATCTTCATTAGCTCCTTCCATCCTTATCCCGCACTGCTTTTCTTCACTCATTCGCGCAATAATGGCCTCGACAATGTCCCAGCGCGCGGTCCTCAAGTCCGCTCTCGCCGCCGGAGAGAAGGGTATCGGATACTGGCTCCGTAGTGCGGGCTCTGACCGGGATCGGAGGCTTCAACTGGGTACTGATCGACGGCGAGCACGGCCAGATCAACGACAAGGACTTTTACGAGCTCTCCTGCGCCGTTGCTGCAGCTGGTGCGAGCCCGATTGTCCGTGTGCCGAATGCAGAGGAGTACATGGTGAAGAGAGCCCTCGACTGCGGAGCTCACGGAATCATGACGCCGATGTGTCATTCTGCTGTAAGTACGGGTTGCCCTTGGCTGCTCGTTGGGGCTGTTCTTTCCCCCCACTTTCAAAAAGACGAGTTGCGTGTTGACAGACTCAGGAGGATGCCAAGAAGGTTGTCGCCTGGAACAAATACCCTCCCACCGGAACGCGTGGTTTCGGTCCGATGTTTGCCGGTCACGCTTTCGGTGTCAGCGAGGGCGAGTATGCTCAGAATGCCGACTCAGAGTGTCTCGTAATGGTGCAGATCGAGTCCCAGCGTGGTGTTGACAGCGTTGAAGAGATTGCGGCCGTGCCTGGTCTCGATGTCCTCTTCGTTGGCCCCTTCGACCTGTCAAAGTCCATGAACGTCCCCTTCGGCTCTAAGGAGCACCAGGACGCCATTGCTCGGATTCTGAAGGCCGCCCATGACAATGGCAAGACGGCTGCTATCTTCTGTTCGAATGGAGAGCAAGCCCGCCAGAGGCTGGAGCAGGGTTTCGACATGGTCTCCATCCACACCGACATCGGAGTCATCGTGCAGGGCATGTCGAGGGAGATGGGCATCGCGACCGGAAAGACGCAGGAGAAGAAGAGCGGGGGATATTCCTGAACTATGTTTTGTGAGATGGTAATGCATAACCGATAGAAGGCTGCTGAGTATGCCCCGAGCGACTGGGTGCCGTACTCGAAACAACTGAGTGCCGTTAGACTTTGCTAGGGCCGTGCTTGTTGACGACCGCGATCCTACTGATCGATTGGCTGTCGCGACAGCAGAAACTGTAGTCGCTCGCCGCGACGGCGGATGCGCCAGCGATGGGCAAAATAGACACCTTAAGATCCGCATACAACGTCGCGGGTTCAGTGCGAGGGCCAGGCCAAGCGGACTTACACCGGCCGGCCGATCCTCGCGCGGCAAGACACTACCGGCCTAGGCTTGAAGCTCATGTCTTGTTGGGCAGTGTTCGTATTGCAATCAAGCCACGGCTACACTTTCAGACCCGAGCGGCCTTTATACCCTAAACAGACCCAATAAGCCTCGGAGCTCTCTGAACGTGAGCTCTTCGGCTTATCCGTAATGACTCTCTGGAAGCAAGGCTCGAGGTGCTGCTTCCGAAACCGAACAAGATCAGGGTGCTCGAAGAACTTGAGTCTGCGTGCGTCAGCTCGCCTGAGAATCCAAAAGCTTACGCCATTGCGCCTCCCGGCTTAAGGACTGAATGGGCAAACTCGGTGGCCGCCTCAACGAGATCGAGCGATGCCTGTGTGTCTCGAGCCTTCACTCCCGACATTGCCGCCATCATGTCCGATAGCACGGTGTCGGCTTTGGCGGGTTTGGGCTGAGGAGTGCGGCGCCCCTCCGCGGTCTTCTCCGACTCATCAGCCTTTGCCTCCTGCTCTCCTCTGGAGAGACCGGACGAGTCCAATAGCGGAGTTTCAGATTTGGAGAGAGGCGTTGCAGCGGCTTCCGCAGTATTCTTCTCTTTATTGGACGGCGTCGGCCCATCCCCTGGTCTCAGCAGATCCCGGACCGCCTTCTGCACCTCGGGTGTGAGGAAGTCACCCTGCAGTGTCTTCACCCCAGACATGGGGTCGATGGGGAGTAGGTCGACAGCGACAACCTTCTTCACGCGCTTCGAACGGGCTGCAACTTGACTCCACCCGCCAGGTGCCGCGCCCAGATCGACAACGTTGCCCCGTAATATCCGATACTTCGCGTCGAGCTCCTGAATCTTGAACCCGGAGCGTGCGCGGAGGGGCTCGCTCGCTATGCCAAGGGCCTCAGCTGCAGTTAGATTTCAGTTGCAATACAACACATTGCAGGGTCTTCGAACAGCACAAGATAAGAGGGAAACTGGGAGGAAGGACAGGGGACGCCAGCCGAGTACGAGGAAGGCGAAATGAAGGGGACGGGGGGGAAGGCCACTTACTGTCTTCATCGAAGTCAAGAGAAGCTTGCGCCGCATTGCGCGCCCGCACGAACGGATCTCGAGCTTGCCGCGCCAGCCAGCGGCCTGACGAGGACGCCTTCAAGGCCGAGCGCGTTCCAAACATGACGTTAAGGGAACATGCGGTGGAGGCTGTTGTTGAGAGAAATCTCGTGCATGAGCAAGTGCGGGGTGGATTGCGGGGTAGATCTTGGGCGGAACCTATTCTTAAGTCGCCGGCCCGAGTCCTCTCCACCGCCGGGCTGTACATATGCCAACCACGCGCGATGTTCAGCGACTTGTCATCGCTTTGCAATCCTACTACCTGCAACTATGGTACGCAGCTTCCGATGATTGGAAGGGGTTAGCTAACATGCAGGCAAACGCATCCTCGAAACGCATTTCGGCCGCTAACAAGGCGGCCCTGCGCAACCTCGCGCGCAACCTCTACCTGATCAACGCACTTGCGCTCGGCGTGCGCTGGGTTAAGAGCAACGTTTATGGACGGCCTTTCCTGCCTAGTGGATTCGTGCTCTTCCTTCAGGTCGCAACATTCGTTGCAACTATTGCGGTCTGGCGGTGGTTTATTGCTATCGGCACCCCCCATACCGACGCCAAAGGCAACGTGAAGGTTGCTGAAGACCTTGCGGGTGGCGGCGTCATCGAACTCGCGTGGGACATGTGAGTGCATCTAAGGAGGAAATGCCTCGATGCTGTAATGTTAGCTGACGAGCAGGATCTACCTCACCTGGATTTGCACGCTCGGCTCGGCCCTCATCGCCCCCTGGTTCTGGTACCTCTTCCTCCTCATTCCGGCCTTCGGCGCTTGGAAGATCTACGGCGTCGCCAAGCCTTTCCTCGGCATGTTTCTTCCCGGCATCTTCGGACCGAAGGGACCCAAACCCGCTGCACAGGAGCAGGCGCAGGCCGCCCAGCCCGCCGAGTCCAAGAAGCAGGCCAAGCTTCGCGCCCGCATGGAGCGCGGCGACAAGCGCGTCCAGCAGGTCCAGCGCCGGTAGCTGCCGCGGCTAGCAACGTTCTTTTCGTTATATAGAGGGGCAATATCTGCATAGATGCACTATGATACATTGTACGCACTAGTTATACAAACGCATTTGCCTTCTGCCGCTTCTCCCGGAAGAAGGTGGCCATGGCGCGCGCGGCGCCACTCCAGTCGTCTGGCGTCTTCACGTCCTGCCCAATCCATCCTGGGAGCTTGTTGCGGATTCGTGGCGAGCTGTAACGCCGGTCGACGAGGAGGATGCACGCATAGTCGTTCTGATGCCGGATCGCGCGCCCGATGCTTTGGTTGACGGCACGCATGCACAAGTTTTCGTATAGCTCCCTTCCAGCAGAAGGTCCACTTTGTCGCTCAACATACTTCATCCTCTCCGCGAGCTCGGGACTAGAGGCGTTCGGGAACGGCAGGCCGACCATGACGACGCACCGGCCAAGTCGATCGGCGAAGTTGATGCCTGCTGGTCAGCTTCCCATCCACAGCGTGGTTTGGCAACTTGCCTTCCGAGAGTTTGCCCCCAACAACAGCAAACATAAGCGCCCCCGTCCGCTTTTCCTTCGGTGTATCGATAGCCAGAGCGTAATCGCGCAGAATAACATCTACCTCGCCGGTCGTTTGCGGCTCGTAGAATATCTTCTTCTTGGCACTGAACTTTTCCGACAGCCCTCCGGATCCGCCCCACGACGTCTTGAGGCGGTCGAGGAAGGCGTACGATGGCACGAAAACAACCACGCCGTCGGGGACCAAGCCAATCGAAGACTGAAGAACTGCCCCCAGCTCCATAACCTAATGTCAGCTCGCGGAGCAATCAGAGCGGTTCTCACCAATGAGTCATCTCCTCGGTTGGAGTACGTGAACTCCAAATCTTTGCGTCTCGGTCCACGCGAGACAACCTGTGTGAGGAGGTTGCTCTTAGGAATGACATGGGAGCACGAAATCGTCGCAAATTTGCTGCGAGGGATGCCTGGGAAAAGCTGATTGTAGAAATCCGAAAGCTTTTATCAGCTTGGTCATGGCTCGCAAACTTACCGGCTCCATGGTACCTCCCGCCAGAATGATGGCCCTTGCCCTCTCGACGACCTCCTGGAACCGTTCTGCAGGGTTCAGGAGAACGTATTTAAGGACAACGTCCTTGTCGTAGGTGAGGATGATGCGGCCGTCATCCTTCGCATCAGTGAGCGAGAGTAGGAACGCCTCCACGGCGTGGAAGGCTGCGATGGACGCATGCCGCACAGAGCTGCTGCGTTTCGCATTAGTCATCTGCTCCTCGAGGCTCTCCGCGAAGCCGCTGACCTTGCGCGCCAGCTTCGACTCCTTCAGGTACGCGACCATCTCAACGAGATTAACTGAGTCCGAGCCTGAGCCCTCGGCTGCACGCGACATCAGGTCGTTCACGTTCATGAGCTCGCCTTGCGCCTTCTTCGGGTTCGCCTTAGCCTCGAGCCCATATGTCTCGCACACGCGCGCCAAGCCGCGCAGGACCGACAACGTTTGTTTGATCCACAACACATGCCGCGGCTTCATTCTGTTCTTGAAGCGGGCGAGATACTGCGTCAACTGCATGCAGGCGCTTCGCAGGTGCGTGGCTGGTAGCGAGCAGGAGTATATCCCGAGGATGGTGTCGATGAGGTCTGCTATAAGCCACAGTTGTCAGAAACCGAGACTCACTATGCGCCTCATCGATGACAACGATTTGGCCCTCGAGGTCGATACCCAGCGCCTCTCGCGCGTTCTTCTGCAAAAGCAGGTTGTACGGCAGTGTGACGAGCTGCGCCTGCTTGACAGCCTTGCGAGTGGCGTAGTACGGGCAGACCTGGCGCTCCTTGCCTTCCAGAACCAGGTCCTCGATATCGCGCACTGTCGCGAGGACACTGTCCCTTGCGTCGAGCATGGGTCCGTCTTCCTTCGGCATGTACTGACATCGCTGGGCACCTAAAATCAGCTGCGCGGCAACACAGACAGCTCACCACTCTTCTGCATGTCTAGGCATGCTTCATTGAGGCGGTCTTCTCGTAGTGAGCGGACCTTATCGTTGATACACAACTGCCGTCTGGACGCAAGGGGCACGAGGCTAACGGGATCGTCGGACCCCACCGTCAGCTCCGCTTCAGCCGAAGCGGGCAACTCAGGTTCGCCGGAGAACGTCGTCTTGAGAAGCTCGGAAGTAAGCTGTCGCAACTGACTGTGCGTACGACTGGCGAAATACACCTTCGGAACATCCTCTTCTGCGACCTCATCATCAGCTCTCTGCTCGGGCTCAAGCTGGGCGAGGAGCGCCCGCACCTCGGCACTAAGGGCCGGCCCGTCAGAAGCGACAGCTTTCTCCTGCTCGTTGTCCTCGGGGAGGAACTCTTCCTCGCTCTTCATCTGCTTCTCGGCAGCAATTGTCGAGCTCGGCCGTGCTCGTTTGCCGGGTCCTCCAAATGCTCCAGCTTGGGAGGCTTGTCGAGCTCTGCGCTCCCGCTCACGTGCAGCTGACAGGCGTAAGACTCGCGCTTCTGACGCAGCCCTGAGCTCGGCCATGTGACGTTTCACAGCCTTCTCCACTACCCAATCCGGGTCTACTACGATCAGTTTGTTTTCTCCGCGATGAAACGCTTACCGTCGGGGTCATCCTCCTTGAACCGTCGACGAAGGTCATCCTCAGTCGCCTTGTCGAGCCGCTTTTGATGTGCCGAGAGCCAGGACAAAGTCGATGTAAGGAGCGTCAGAGATTTCCCTGTTCCTGTGGGAGATGAAACCTGTACGTCAGTACTGTCACTCCTGTGCAAGCCCACGATGGCAATCTTCCCGTCCTCAATCGCACCGAAGACGGTCTTCATGAGATCCAGCTGGATCTGGTATGGCGTGTAGGGGAATGGGAAGGAGGTTGGCGTGTCGAGATGCGGCAGCACGGAATGCTGCTCACCTGACCCATTCGCCGCATCATCACGCCTCGCGATGGCGCCCGAAGCCGTGTCGAGCGCCATGGGTGAGATGTGGTAGGGTGGACAAACGGATGACAATGAGGAATGTCTGAATTTGTTTGCGACGCGTCGAGCGTGCCGTGCCTGAGTGGCAAATGGGAGCGTTTTGGTGACGACATGCCAGAACTCTATCGTTCCGTGGCCGACTTCGACCCTCACACCTGGCTGTCTTGCTCTGCTCAAACGAAAACATGATGCCGGTCGTCCTCGCCCCGTATAAAGCCGGATATCGGTGTGGGAATCGGTGCTTGCAACAGAAATGCATATAATCACAGTCTCCGCTTTACTCTGACGACACTCTGCTGGGCATCGTTCTCGACCCTCCTACTTATCCTTGAAGGTCAACGAGATGCCGTTGACACAGTGCCTTTCGTCGGTGGGAGTGGGAAAGCCTTCACCCTTGAATACGTGTCTGACAGTTAGCTTAGACCCGCGTTTAAGACGTCGCCATTTCCATGCGCGCGAGGGCTGTAGTCCAAACAACCGGCAACTCACCCAAGGTGCGATCCACTGTCGTCAGTCTCTACACAAACTACGCCCAGCTTACCAATTAGCACAGGTGATCTCAGTCCTGAGCATCCCCATGGATCTGTCCTCATGGCGGTTCACTGCGCCGGGCACGGTGTCGAAGAACGCGGGCCAGCCGCAGCCTGAGTTACTGCACATCAGCCCTCCCGTGTATGCGCTGTTTGAAGCTTAACCCGATGTATGGCATGCGCACCCATGAGAGCATCCAGACACCTCTGTCGACGAGTTGTCGATGCGCCGGGAAGGTAAAGCGCGCCATTCACCCCCAGTCCACTCCGCAGCCTTCTGCACTACTCACAACTTCTGCTTGCTGGTGTATAACGGAGCATCGCAGGCGGCGCAACTGTACACGCCCTCGTCCTGCTTCTTATCATAGGGGTGCGAGCCAGGCGCCTCGGTACCCTTCTGGCGGAGGACGCGGAACTGCTCAGGACTGAGCTGGGCACGCCATTCGGCATCGGTCTTATTGACGTTTGGGGCGGACATGGCGCGGACTTGGAGAAAGGTAGCTACTCGAGCGGGGCGGACGGTGCGGGGAAGGCGGGCTGCGAGTGAAAGTGGTCTCATAGAGTAAGCACGAAGGCGAAGTTGCTGGAGACAGTCTTTGTCAGAGCTCGTTGGGAAGGTGGAGGCGGAGATGACGTTACCGGTGAGTCACGTGTTGACAGTGATCTGCATGGCATTTCGGACGGAGAGAGTCACATAGTTAGCCCACCCAGCTGTTCAAAATGCACGGAGTGTGGTGCGCAAAACATGGTGTTCGTCAAGGCGTACTGGTCCAGGCAACAAAGAGCTTCATGCTGCATGCCGGCTTGCCAACGTGGCTCGTCCATAGTTGCCGCAGCTGGCGGCCAGCCGTATGTCCGTTGAGGAGAGTCGCTTCCTCTACCCGAATCACCCATAGACGGTCTTCGCGCGCTATGCGCAGAACCCTCTTGATCGCAAAGGCAGGTCTCAACAAGAGAGACGGCGACGGCAAGGGCAGGGAGAGGAGGTCAGGCCTCAGAGCATCTGACCTGACCGCTAACCTTGCTGCAAGTGCCACTCCACGTGCACAGATTGCGGAGAATGTCGGCGATACGTCCACGTGTTCGAAAACGTCGAAACCGCTAAATTGCTATGATGGAAATTTGGTCCCGTCGTACGCTGCGAGAGGTGCTGCCGGGTTGGGAGCAAGAGTGAATGCATCGTCTTGCTGATCCTCTAACCGTCAAACTTCGACCAGGTTAATCAAAATGGCTATTGGTGCGTACCCCGATCGACACACGACGAGGACATATCGATCTCCGGCGAGAACAGACATCGCGAGCGCTGGAAGCAAGTCGACAGAGCTGCTCGAACAGCAGGGACGGAAATTTTGGACGAGATCGGACGACTGGAGACTGGAGACGCGCGGCCATCAATGAGGGCGGACCTGTGACCGTGTGCTTCGTGCTGTACTCTCGGGGGACACGCTGCTCGTTGGAAACAAGATCGATCGTTGCGAATAGAAGGAACGGAGGCCTCAGACAGGTCCTCTTTCGACTTTGTCCCCAGACGACCATCTCTGCGATCGACCGAACAATTGAACACGCTCAGCTGCGACATGAAGTTCCTCTCGAATGGCAATTCAGCGCTCGAAAACGATGTCCTGTTCTCCGGAGATTCTGTCCAAGCTAAAGACCTGTGAGGAGAAGCTAACCGTCAGGCCTCGCTTCTGACCGCCGCAAGTCCCGCAAGGCTCACTTCTCCGCCTCTTCGGGCGAGAAGCGCAAGATCATGTCCTCTCCTCTCTCCAAGGAGCTCCGCGGCGAGCACGGAGTCAGGTCGATCCCTGTTCGCAAGGACGACGAGGTCCTCATCGTTCGGGGCAAGTACAAGGGACGTGAGGGCAAGGTCACCCAGGTCAGTATCAGAACATGTTGGGAATAGCCTGTCGGAACCCAGAAGCTGACATCCAGGTCTACCGCAAGAAGTGGGTCATCCACGTCGACCGTGTCCACGTTGAGAAGTCCAACGCCGCCACCGCCCCCATCGGCATCCACCCCTCCAACGTTGTCATCACCACCCTTAAGCTCGACAAGGACCGCAAGGCCATCCTTGAGCGCAAGGGCCGCAAGACCGCGGCTTAAGCGTCTCAACGCATGCGCATGTTAGAGGGCCGTAGTGGGATGTACCTATGATACACTGGACATTGGAGAGAAGCGGAGCTGGAACTAGGAGAGAGGTCAGCGCAGGATAGGCGGTACCCGGGGTCAGGCTCGACGTGCGGAACGGTGTATGGGACCTGCAAGTCGCTCGTAGGGGAGACACTGACATGAGCAATGAACACTTACTGCATCTCCGCAGCCCGTCGACCAGAGTCTACGAGGCGAGACAAGCGAAGGAAGGGTCCGAGAGCCGCGGCAAACGTCTTCGGAGAGTGCGCGTGGAGAGGCAGCCTACGCCTCTAGGCGGAATGGAGACCTTGGTGCCGAGGGTGCAGTTGCTGTCTCACGCTGCCGATCGCAGGATCGCAGGGGGGATCGCTGATGAGGGGATCTCAGTGCAACTCCCCGAGGAACGTAACATCGCAGAGCCCGCTGGCATGGACATTAACGTTTCCGCCGGCAACGGCGAAGCAGAGACGGAGAATGCACATCGCCTGAGAGCTTTGCGCTGTGATTATGCTGCCTGTCTGCACTCCACAGCGGATGGGTGTCTAAATGCGTCCTGGCCAAGCCCTTACCGCCTGATCCCGTTTGATCTAGTCCAAATCATACATCCGTGTGGCCAGGTATGTCCGTCACCTCGTCGGTGTCCGCTGTTCGGACATCGTATCGGTAGTACGATCGCATATCGGGCCCATCGGGCGTCGGACTTGCGTTCGCCTGGCTCGTACGCACATCCGCTCCGTCTTAGGTCTGTCTGACATGGGAACTCTGCTCCACAGACACAGCCGACCTCCTCGGCAGATCGGCAGATGGACCATCTGCCACCCGTGTTCAACAGTGGACGAGTTAGCCCTACAATCTGTTCACTGCCACACTCCGATCATGTGCCGTGCACGAGCACACCATCGCTAGGAGCGGAGCCAGCGATATCCTTAGTCTCTTCGAGCTAGAGTTAGGGCAGAAAAGAATGAAACTATCGGTGACTGAACCTGCTGCTGTCGAGGTAACCGCCCATCGGCGGTGCTTGTTCTGCCCGTTCCGCACTCCGCATATTCGCGGTCTTCATCACCTCCGCACCTTTCATACACTCCGACGAGCACATCGCCTCCTTCATGCCGGTTCGGCACCGGAGATTTCCACTTGGTGGCACCAGCTCTTGCTTATGTTCAGAATCGATTATTGAACCGCCATGTGTAGGATGCCTCGTCAGACCTCAGCGGGCGTCTCGATGTCGGCGTGCTATGGTCATCAGTGAGATTATTTTCGCTCTCAGGAAAGGAGGATCTCAGCACAATGAAGGCTGATGCGTCATAAGCGTCAATACCACACCGCCGGCAACACTGACGAGTATTCACTGGCGCCTGGTCCATAACCCGCTCGCGTCGCTTGGAGAATTGCCACGCTGACCGCACTGCCACGGTAGTCGGCAATGTTGAACCAGACTTATGATGAAGATCACGAATCGCACTGAAAATAGGTGAGGCGGGCCGGCTTGCAGTCGGTAGCAGTTGGCATTCAGCTGCCCTTTGCGGCCCAAAGTATCACAAGTCCAGCTTCCGGCTGTCTCAGTGTCCTATCTAACATTCGGCGTTAGGCCAGTATCGTAAATGCACCAAGAGAGAAAGGAGCAGAAACAGATGCAGTATCCGTGCTTTGTAGTTCGTCGAGCCGACAGGCAACATGTATGCTTTCGTGCAGCATCAGTAGTGTGCCACTTCACCCAGCCACAAATCGGTCTTCACAGTCCAGATTCAACCTGCCGGACCCGCCATTCCCGCTCTCTACCGGCAATGCCGATCATCGGCAGTGCGGCAGGGACTGGCTGACTTTCTGGCTCCGCTCACCCCACTAAGCGAACGCTGCGTCGTCTGTGATTCAGATCGCCCACTCCTCTTGCCCGACCTTCCCCACTCTGCAGAAACTTGGTTTGCGTGCTGCCATGCTGGAATCGCCTGACCATTGAGGCATGCTGAGCAGAGAGTGCAGAGCGGAATAGCGGCTCAGCGGCAGCTCCCATTCGAGCAGGATGTGTGGCGCCGGGCGTCTGTGGCTGCTGCCCGCTGGGCCCGCTGGCTCGAGCAGGGCGGGCAGACCTGGGGGCTATGGCGCCGAGTCCAGGCGAGTTCAGGCAGTTCAGACTCTGCCAGGCTCCAATGGCGTACTGGCTGGCGTTGGGGCGTGCACTCTTGCTTACTCGTCAGACCCCACTCTGTATTCCGTCTTTCCATGCAACTTACATCCATAGCTTGCACCAACAATGACAATCTTCTGGACTAGGATCGTGGAAGGGCTTTCGAGGACGACTAGCGAATTTGAAAGTGGGTAGAGTAATTCCGTAATGTGCGCATGCTCCGCAATGTCTGTCTGCCGAGCCATCTGAGCTACCGGCTACAAGGGCAGGGCTCTAGACTCGCTTTGAGAACAGGAACCAGGCACGGGTGTGCTGTGGCCCCGTCCCTTAGCCTTGGCTGACTGACACTGGACGCCGGTCGCCTGGGCTCGAAGGGCTCGAAGGGGCTGTTGGGCGCTCATCGTCTGGAGCCTCTAGCGCTTGCTTGTGGTCGGGTCGTTAATGGGCCGTACGCGGACCCACCATGCACGACACGGCGAACGACCACCCAGCAACTCACTCACGGCTCAGCTAAGCACTGCGCTCGCTGTCCTCGCCTCTCTCAAGCAGTCGCAGTCACTCTCGCACGGCGTACTCACGTCCAAGCTCCGCGCCCTTCATCAGACCTCGTAACAGCATCGCTCTTCTCTCGACCACCCTCAATCCCTTCAACCCTACGCCCGACGTCACACTGCAACCACGCACACCGCACGCGCACACTCACACTCGCCCCCTCCCCCGCATCCACCCCGCCATAGCCCTTCCACCAATCCTCGTCTCGCACACCGCCCGTCTCTCGTCCTTCCTCATCACCCACACGCCCTCACACTCACACCACACACCCTCCTCCCCTTTCCTCTTCGATCACCCCGACCACGTCATGAACTAGACTCTGGTGACCCTCTCACGTTGCGGCCCTCGACGACGATCTTTTCGCTACGACTTTGACCTGCCCCTTCCCCCTTTCCTCCGGACACGGACACTATCGCCTGCACCCATCTCATTTCCGCTACCTGCATTGCATTATCACGTATACGCATACGATTATCAAGCTTGCCCGGCTCCGATTGCAACTGTATCCCAGTATTCCTCTCAACGTATCCCAACGGCTAGTACTTGTGACCCCGTGCAAGACCTGTCTCACAATCATTTTTACCCCGACCATCGACCTGGCGCTCGTCTGCCCGTCTGCTCGTCTCCTCGACCGAACGCCAACGCCTGCCGACGGCTGCAGAAAACCCGCTTTGAGCATTGTCAGATCTCTTGGGAACCTCCATTGAACTGAACAATGACTCAAGGTCGCGACAATGCCGGTGCATCTGGCACGCCTGCCTCTGCGTCCAGTGCAGCCGCAGCGTCCGCAGCGCCCGCAGGTGTTACTGGCGCAAAGGCCTCTGTGGGCTCTGCTTCGGACACTGTGTCGAGGGCAGAGTACACTGCGCTTGAGTCGCGGTTAGCTGCGGCTGAGGCTACCATCGCCGCCCTGCAGAGCAAGCTTGCAGTCGTCGAGGGACCTGCTTCCGACAAAGCGGCGCCCACCGGCAAGCCTGCGCTGGGCAAGTCACCCTCTGGATCATCTGCACTCGCTCCTGGGTCGGCAGCGGCAAACGCAGTATCCCCGTCTGGACCTGGAAGTGCGGCGGCCTCGGGTTCGAACGCTTCGGGCGCTTCGAGCATCCCGTCGTCCAGCGCATCTGGGTCCGTGGCCCGCACGCCCCCCGCGCCATCGGAGGCAAGCGAGGCGTCGATCGCCGCACTCACGCAGCAAGTCGCAGCGCTCTCGACGAGCGTCGCGCAACTGCAGCGTCTGCAGACCCAGTCTATGGTGTCGCCCATGAATGGGCACCCGTCTCACCCTTCGCATGCGCACCAGCACCAGCAGCACCAGGGACAGCACCAGCACCAAGGTGCGCTGCACCAGCAAATGCGCATGCCGCCCCCTCCTCCGCTCGACACAAACCTCGGTAATCTCCCAGGAATGGCGCATTCGGGGCACTCTGCGCATTCCGTCACGAGCCCGTTCCCACAGCAGGGATTCCTCGGCGGCACGCCCGGACCCCGGACGCCGATCAGCCGTCCGTTCTCGGGCCTGATGTCGGCGGACGACAAATGGGGCGCCCCCGGGCAGGGCCCAGGCAGCCGCAGCAATGCTGGAGGTAATCAATGGAACTCCCAGGGGCCTATCATCCAGACGAACGGCATCAGCGGCATGAACAGCAACATTGGCAGCGGTGCGGCGGCCCCAGGCGCAGGCATCGTTGTCACGAAGTGGGAGCACTTGAACCTCAAGGTGGAGCTCCTTCGTTCCATCTCGAAGTACGGGTGAGTCTGGTATGTGGTGGACTTGTATTGACAGTTGCAGGATTGGTCCGCCGAACAAAATTCAGGCTCGAGTTCTTCCATTCATGCTCAAGGGCTCGGATATCATCGCTCAGGCGCCGCCCACCCAGGAGCGCATCATTTCTTAGTGAGTGCTGTGCAGCTCAATCCTTCGCTGCCCGTAGCTGACACCTCAGCGTGATCCCTGCCCTACAACTATGTCTGACACTACCCCCGCCGCAGGGGCCGTACCGGGGACCGGCCGTGATCATCATCACCACGACGGTCGACCAGGCGACGCAGTGCCACAAGCGTGAGTAACGTACAATTCGCCTGCTGCTCGTCATAGCTAATTGGTGCAGTCGTCGGCAATGTCGGAGGGCCACTTGGCGTGCGCGCGGCGCTTGCGGCCGGTGCGGCGGGCTCGAGCGGGCTGCCAAACGAACTGGCAGCGATGCAGCGCGACCAGATCCAGATCCTGATTGGTACGCCGGCCAAGGTGAACGAGGTCATGAACATGCGCGGTGGGCTTTCGGGGGCGGACTGCCGCCTCCTGATCCTTGATGAGGTGGACCAGCTGATCGCGCGCAATCTGTATGAGAACGTTCTCAACATTGCGCGCATACTTCCATCCCCGCGGCGGTCTGGTCCCGGTCTGACACCGGGTCCTACGCCCTTCTCTCCCGTCGTCGGCAGCCCTTACGATGGCGGTCAGCAGTCCCCCTTCAACCCGCAGAGCAAGACGCCATTCCCGGCGGCCCAGAACTCCCGCTTCTCGACCCCAGGCCCGGGCGCAACGCCAACCTCGCCTACACCACCGATTGAGAGGCAAACCTGTCTCTTCTCCAACACGATCCCCACGGATGTCATCAACTTCTCCCAGTCGCTGCAGGTGCGCGACCCGGTGCGCGTCTTAGTGCGTCGTGAGGGGGCCACGAACTCGCAAGAGTCTGTGAGCAGTGTCACCCCCGGCGTGAACCTCAAGCACACGTACGTCTACCTGACGATCACGGGGAGTGCGCGCTCGGAAGAGTCGTCGGAGTCCGGTCCAGGGACTATCGGCAGCGGTCGCAACCCCGGCGCAACTCTTAGCGAGGAAGCGACCCGCGCCAAGGAGTACAAGCTCGACATGCTCGTCAAGATGCTTGACGACTATCCCCTGTGGCAGGCCATCATCCACGTTGGCACCTACGCCATGCTCGAGGCAGTCCTATACAAACTTGGCTCTCGTCAGTGGGAGACCCTGTATCTGTCCTCCGACATGCCCCCGCCACAACGCAAAGCCGTCCTGGCCCAGTGGCGCATGAGTGTACCGGGGAGTGGACCCCGATTCCTCGTCTGTTTCGACGTCACCCCCAAGCCGCCCGATATTCCCTGGACGCCGCTCGTGATCAACTTTGACCTGCCCCGAAGTGTGGAGGGCTACGCGCTCCGCGCGGCCGCTGCCGTCCCGCAGGCCCCGCGACAAGGCCAAGTCAACCACGTCAACGGCGTCATCGTGTCCTTCGTCCAGGCGGCCGGAGGCGACGTGGAGATGCTCCGGAGTACGGAGTGCGCGTACCGATTCAAGGTGAGTGAGAGAAAGGAGTGGACGTGGAGCGAGCGATGCTGCATCCGGGTGAGCTGGCAGGGAGCTCGCTCGCCCAGCTGGCTACGGTGGGAGATCAAAGCTGACAACCAGTCCGCCGAGATTCCGACCGTGTTCCACGACCTGTTCCAGCATTAGTCGCCCTTACACCTCTTAGACTTTCAGGCTAGAGTGTACAGTTTTCAGATTCCAAACCATAGCACAAACACAACTGAACAACCCGCACAAGTCCACACGACGACAACATGGCAACATGGCAACATGTCCACAATCCCTCACAAAGCCTTTTACCAATTTTCTCCACTTTTTTGTCACTCTATACTATACTCTCTCGCGAGCAACACAACGAACCAAATCATCTTCATACGCGGCCCCGACGGGCTGCGCGATTAGTACACTTTGCGTCATGCATGTAGCTGTATCTGGTGACCTGCCCATTCCTGGCACATTGTGGGCTTGCAAAGAAGGGAGGAAAGAAAGATCGGAGTGAGGGGCTGTCCTACCATGGGAGGAGTTGCATGTGGCGAGCAAGACCAGCAATGTCGATTCCGTCTCTGCGCCGTGGTCGGTCGGGGAGCAGGAGCCCCATGACATCGTCAATGAGCTCGCAAGCTCCTCCTCTGCTGCTGTGGGTCGGAACTCATGTGCACTCGTATTAATCACTATTCATAACTACATCCCCTATCGACTAGTCGCTATCCACTACAGCTCTCTGCTCTCTTCCCCACTCAACGCATCGAGCACTGCACGCCCCCGCGCCGCGTCGGACTGAGCATCGCGCCTCCACCTCACGCCGTGGGCATCGCGCTTCGCGCTCAGCTCGGGGAGTTTAGAACGTCTCATCATCCAGCAACTCCCCCTCCTCGCCGTCGGGCACCTCGAACCCTTCCTCGGTCTGGTATAGGATCTCCTGAATCTTGGCGAGCGTATCCCGTTCCTGCTCGTCGACGTCTTCGAGATTGATGCGCTCGCCGACAATGAGCTCGATGCTGCGGAGTTCTGGCTGTCAGCGAGCTGCTTCCAATACCGAAGGCGGGCAAAGTGTTGAGCTAGTATGATTTGACACTTGGGGTCCACCCCGCCGCGAAGGGATCACTGGACCGCTCGGACAGGACAAAGGAAGCGCGCTTGTCGCCCATCGCGCTGGCCTCCTCACTCCCGTTCGCATGGGGCTCTCGGCCGAAAGAGAGAGGGAGAGCTCACTCACTGGCAAAGTAGAAGTCACGCTCTTTCTCCAGCCCCTCGCACGTGGACTGGAGCTCGCCGACTTGGGCGTTGAGGTGCTGGATCTGCGCGTTGCTAGCGGCGCTGGTGGAGCGGGAAGCGGCGGCGCCGCCGGCGGACGCGAGGCTGGGGCGACCGGACGCGACACGCGCAGTGGGGCCGCGCGACGGTGGTGTCGGTGCGGCACGGTGGCCGCCGCTGTAACTTGTCAGTATCAAAGCTTTATCTCGCAACTTACGCCCGCTCGACTGCGTTGTACTCCTCCCCGCGCGAGTTCGAGTCCCAATACTTCTTCATCCACTGCAAAAACTCGAGGTTGTCCTGCATCTTGCACTTGACGAGGCGCTCGACAGGGATCGGCTGAGCGTTAGCACGGCCACAAGCCGGCTGAAGTAGCGAGGTTTTGCGTACAGCGATGCCCGGTTGTGCTCAATCACCGCCAGCCCTACCGAACTCACCTTCGGAATGCGATGCTTCGTGAACGCCTTCTGCAGAATCTTAAAGTTGTCCAGGTACTCGTACTCCATCTTGGCGTTCATCTTGAGGCGGCTCATGGGCAAGTCACCGTAGATGGAGTCAAGGATCTGACGTCAGTTTAGCAAGACCCGATCGAAGTTGAAGTCGCCTCCGCTCAATGCCCCGGTTACGACATATCGACTGAGGCTGCACTGGCAAGGCCGAAGTCGAGTTCCGGTCGAGGAGCAGGACCCGCGCCGTGCAGCAGTGGGCTGAGGCATCGAGGTGCCTTCGCGAGCGCCGAGCTCGGCCGCGCCGCACGGATCGAACTGCTCGACTAGCGGTTCGTAGACTTACCTGACAGTAGATGATACCCTTGCCGCATTCCTCGACCTTCTGGATGACATTCGGCGCGAGCAGCTCGTTAAGCCATGCTAGGAGCTCGCCGCGGGCTGAGGTTAGCTCGAGGTCGCAGACTTGAGAGCTGAGGGTGCAGGACGGCATGTGCACTTGGCGGCGAAGCGTTCGCGGGGAAGACCCAAGCTCGCTTGCGGGCGAGGGCGCAAACGTCCAGCGATGGGCTTGTGGGCGGCGGCCGCGACGGACACACGGCCAGAGCAGAGACCGAGAGATGGAGCCGCGTCCACTGCACAAAGGCGGTGTCCTCGGCAGCGGGGTTGTAGTGTCGCCGCCTGTCCCGTCAAGTCAGGACTCACACTCTCCGGTGTAAATGGACATGGTCGTCGGCGGTGCTTGCAGCTGGCGGTGTGTGCGAAGGGGAAGTGCGTAGGTGAGTCAGGCGTGGACGATGACGGTGGGAGTGTAGGGGTAGGTATGGGAGATGCAAGGAAGGCTGGGGAGTGTGTTGAATGCTGAGATCGGTTGGAAGTGACGAGACGAGAAGGGTTGTATTGATTTCGACACAGGCTAAGCAATTGCGAGCTCTGACCGAGTGTAACGAGTGGACGGACACTGCGCTGACGAGGACAACACCCAGCGCAGCCAGACACGACGCGACCTGACCGATCGCCCCTTGACGTGTTTGGTCCCGCGGCCCGGACTAGGGCCCCTGACCATGTGGCATCAGGCACGGAGATACCATCACTGTGAGTGAACGAGCAGAGGGCGCTGCGCTGTATTGCGATGTGGGCTCGACAGTCCGGATGGTCAGATATCCCTTCAGACCCATGATCAAGGTGCAGCTGAAGCAGGCTGTTGAGTCTCATGCAGGTAAAACTTTTGACCAGTCTGAGTTTTAAATCAAATCGCGGTCGGAGGAAGCCCTCGCTAGATTCGATGTCTCCCACGGCGGTATCGAGACCAATGTCATCCGTTCCGTTGTCCAGTGGTGTCCCCGCATGCACATTCGTTCAGGTATCGCCGCCAGCTGACAGCAGGGGGAAATCGCACACTTCATGCAGAAGCGTAAGGGACAATGGAAGATGCCCGAGAAAGGACAAAGTCGCATCTGAATCTACCCAAAGTCTATGTCTATTAAACGGCTGTACTGAACCCCTACGACGTTCGCCCAACGCTCTCAACTCTAGGCCGCCGCAAACTCGGACCTAGCCCTAATCCTCGCACCAATTCGCTTGAACACGAACGGGAATGGCGTACAACAGAACAGCAGCCCCGCAAGCAAACAAGTCGCGCCTACTGGTCCGAGGCGGTCGTACATCTGGTTTCCGAACAGGGGGAAGCCAGCCGCAAAGCTGCTCCTCATGAACGAGTTGCTCGCGAGCGCACTGGCAGCCACAGGTCTGTATGCGTCCACAAGGTAGGTAAAGGTAGCGTTGTAAGCGTACACCAGTCCAGTGCCGAAGAACATGGACAGGACGATGGGCACCATCCAGTGCACGCTCTTGAAACACGTGAGGCCCAGAAGCAGAAGGCCGATGGGAGCAAGCACGGCACCGAACTCGCCCATGTACAGGCGGGTTTCGGGAGGGGCCTTGCCGTCGGGAGAGCGCGAGGCGACGCGCGCATAGTACCTGTTGAAGTAGGGCTGCGTAGCACCGGAGATGAGCTGGCCGACGCCAATCCCGAGGAACGCCAGGCCACACTCTTGCATGTTGAAACCGTACTGGTGACGGAAGATGTAGGGAATGCCTCCGAAGGAAAGGTAGAGAATTCCGAGCAAGAGGGCAGACCAGAGGTCGAGAAGGAGGACCATGGGTTGGGTCGCGAGGAGGATGAACGGCGTCTTGATGCTTCGTTTCAGGGCCATGACGAACGTCTCCTGCTTCAGTTCCATGGGAGCGCGGTAGTTCTGTCCCGTCTCCTTCCTCATCCTCTTCGCCTTCCTCTCCAGCAGTTTCGGCGCAAACGTCTCCGGGACACAGATAAACAATCCAACCAAGCAGACAAACGCCCACATGATCACAACGTAGTACGTCCACCGCCAGTCGGGCTGGTTATAGTTGATGAAACCAGCAATCAATGGGCCGAGAATGGGACCCATGAACGGTGAGATGGACCAGATTGTCATGGGTGTCGCGACGGCAGCGTTCTCGAAAACGTCCGTCACGAGACCGCCGCTGACGGAAAGGAAACCAGAACCGGCGAAACCCGTGAGATAACGGAAAATGAAGTGCACGCTTGGCGTCGTGGAGAATGCGACAGGAAAGTTGAACAGGAAGAAGATGAGCAACCCGTAGTGAAGTACCGGGGCGCGGCCCACAAACTCAGAGACCGGACCCAGAAGCACTGCCGTTAGCAATGGAATGGGGCGAGGTCGCGTATAGTCTTCCTCCCCGCCGTCGAGCACGAGCAAGGGTTGCTGCGCAGGCAAGAGAACTGAAAGAGATTGACACTCACAAGGACCTGTACCGAGACCCATGACGAAGCAGGAGATGGACAGTACACAAACAAGCTCCGAGATGTGATACGCCTTGCTCATGCCCGGGTACGTCTGCGCCGCCATCGAGGAGCAGCATGTGATGCACAAACAAGAAAACGAGAGGATCGCGACCATAAGCCTGGCGTTAGCAAGCTCCAACCTGCCATCGTATAGTAGAAGCCGAAGGGAATGGGGAGTGTGTTAGCCATCAGCAAACTATAACGAGGGGCCGTCTCGACCGTCAGGAAGAAGGGGCAGAGGTCCCTTCGAATGCTTTGTCGCTTCTCCACTTCTTCGGATAACTCCTCGGCACTCACCACTTTCTCCACGCTTTCATATTCAGCGGGTTGCATCTGTCCCCCGGCCCGTCCCATGTGACCTCGATGTACTCCTTCTCCCCCATCTCCGGAGCCACTCTCGTAGATCGTGTGTCGGCATCGCTCAGTCCTTCATTCCCCTCGCCGATAGCCTCGGTGTCTCTCCGTGAAGCGCGAGAGGTGATAGGACTGAGATGAACCTCGGGGACGAACTCGGGATCATGATAGCTCGACGTTTGCGATTTCGTACGCTCCAGGCTGTTGTGCCGAGACATTGCTGTTGAAATTTGGGTGGAGCAGGGCGAGCGGTCTTATCGCGGCATGTGGGAAGGGAAAGATTATCACGGCTAAGAATTCTCGGTTGTTAAAGTAGTCTAAAGAGCTGAACGTCGGAATGCGTATGTGACCGAGTGCGTGAATGTCCGTCAGCGTGAAGGTGTGGGGAGAGCTGGAGCGGTCGAGAGTGAATGTGCATGCCGAAATTGAGTCGGCAAGATGACAGGCGACTTACTCAGCAGATAGCGACCGCTCCGTACTCGGACCGCAGATGGCCGCCTGCCGCCCCCCCAGGTCAGGGGCTGCGGCAACTGCTGGTGCGCGCGTGCGCGGGGTACTAACGCGGGGGCTGTTGACACCCATCACCACTATCCGCACACTCAAGGCACGGCTGGGCCCGAATCGGAGTCTTTCTGTCCGCAGACGCAGCGCCGTGCCTGGTCTTTACTGATTCTATTCTTATTACCCAGTGATGGGCGTTACTATATTCCGCTACAGACTTTTCCCTAATACTGCAACGCCGAGTAATTCCAGGCACGGTCAGGCACAGCCTGACGTGTACATGAGGTGGACTGTGATACGCCATGTTCCCTTACGTCAGGGTCATTTGCTTCCGCGACGCCACCACGACTCGTTGCAACGAGTTGCAACTCATGTCCTTGCAACTCGATCCTTCTTACAAGCCGCCATCCACCCCGAAATAACGCGTTTCTGACCAATCTGACTGCAGAAATGGACTCCGACGAAGAAATAGTCCTAGGAGCAACCCCTGAACGATTCCTATCGGACAG